GCGAAATCTCCGACCGCGGTATTTGAATAACAATTACGATGTATTGCGAAAAAAAAAAAAAAAACAGCGAAACCGATGCGTACGCGACACGGAGTAGACCGCGGCCGCGTTGCGCGTCTCACGTATTTCAATCGCGACCGAAACATTCGCAATAGTCAATAATTCGATTTCATCAAAACGTATCCGCGTTTCGCATTGGACCGCGGCCACAGCGACCAACGCGCACCGCCGACCGCGGCATGCGTTTGGGTACCCGACCGTTTTACAGGCGGGGTTTTTTTTTTTTTTTTTTTTTTTATTTTCCTTTCCCCCCTCCCCCCTCCCCACACTTTTCGCCAATCGAAATATCGTACCGCTGTCGTCACACACGCGTACAGCGGAATCCCCCCGCACACGTATCGTTGTAACCGTACGAGATCGACACTGCGCAATATTATGCGACCGCGGTCCGCACAACCGCAGCATCCGCACTGTACGATACGCGCGTAACGGACGAACGGCTTCTTACCGTATTCGTCCGTCGCGCGCGCGAGGAAAACTGTACCGTTTTCGCGAAAATCGGGCGAAAACTTCGAGCGTACACAATCGGAAATTTCGCAACAAATAAACCCCGAAGGAAACTGTCAACGGGAACGCAAGTCCAATTATTCAAACGTACGAACAGTAATCACGTCGCCCGTGCATTTTGTGTAAAGCTAACCAATAATGCCGGAAAAGTACGTTTTGATGTTTTCATTCGCGGGTTTTTCGGATTTCTAAAAAGGCCGCTGTCTGTCCGGCCCAAGGACCCGAGAAGTGTGCGTGGCGTCATACGTTGTTCAATTTTGGAAATCGTGTGTTCTGATCATTCGGGAAATTTCTGAAATGCGAGGATTGTAAGAAATCCCAACTTCCTTTTTCGACTTTTCTCGTCGAAATTCGGATTTAGTTGGATTTGACTTTTCTTAATACCAGTAAGGAAACCCGGGAAAACGTCGATAGACATTTCTGTTACGCACTTTGAATTATGCATCTGTCGTGGCTGTTTGTTGTTCAGCGAGAAATAATCGTAGAGGTCTGAAGTGTTCACCGGATAATCACGCTGGAACACAATTACAGACGTGGTACAGTTTTCAAAATATCCCGGTGTCTTTCGAGTAGCTTATGGGCGTTTGAAAGTTTCGAATCTTTTCGCGGTTTTATGGTGTGTGGGACGTGGATACGTTAAATTTATTTTTCAGCGTTTCGCGTTCGAATTCAATGGTATGAAATGTCCGTTATCCACTTACAACACTATATCACGTTAATCATATCACGAAGTTTGTGAGAAGTTTGCGAATGGAAAAACGGCATCCGAGCAGTGCGGTCAAATAATTTTGTCACGATGGGTGGTGGATGAGGCTGATTTTGTTCGGTATTCACAGGCCGCGGAGACGACAGATCGCTTACTCCTCCCCCAATTCGACGGTACTCCGACCCGCGACGTTACTGGTTTCCGTGTAAATATCAAATATCAAAACTTTTGGTTTTTGAAAACTTCTTGAGGTTTCTTTTTTTTTTTATCCTCCTGACGATATTACAAACCCGGTAAACGTACGATAATTTTCCTGTGCCAAAAAGCGTCGCCCCAATCAAGTTCTCGGATCCGTACACGCGTATGCAAACATTATCATAAAAATACTGTTATATCACGCACGTATGCGCAGTATATTGATTTCGCGTTCGACTCCGAACTCGTTTGAAGTCGGCTCACCGACCCGCGGGCAATAAAATTAATGATGTATTTATGAAAAATAAAAAAAAAAAATTCAAAATCGACGTCGCGCAGACAGTCAATAATAAAAAAAAAACCTGCGATATTCTACGTATTTCGTAAACCGATTTATGATGTTGTACGGGAAGAAAACACGAACGTTTGTTTAATGTTATATAATGATCATAATACACCGTGTGTGGTAACCGCCCGAGGGCGGGAGCTTTGCGAAAAACTTTCGTCGACAAACATCGCCGCAGTAAGAGGTCAAAGGCGTGGCTCCGCGGCGAATGAGATATTTTTATTATTATTTATTTATTTATTTTTTTTTTTTTTCGTATTATTAAAACGGTTTTCACAGCGTCGACGTAGCGAAAAAATTAGTCGCTTTTCGATTTTCGTATCGTTAAAAATCGAGAGAGAGAAAAAAAACGAAAGAATGAATACGATAAATCATTAGCAGTAATGACGGGGCACGAATCGAAGAAACGTTTCGACGCAAATTGCGCACAACACTGTTACGCGCCGTTTTATTGTCGCGTTATTTTTCGAATAGCGTCAGACAGGAACCGCGGGTCGGGTACTTCTCGGACGGCTCGAAACTCCGAGGCGCAACAGTGAACAACAGCTGTTCAAATATAATGCGATTAACGCCGGCGCGATTATTGTTGTGCGCGCGATCTTGCCATCGGGTAGCCGACCTGAAGAAGTCTCTAGGAGATTCGGTATCGGCTGTTGCACCGGCAAAGTTATAGCGAGTAAAAACCGACCGAAATAATGACAACAGGTCTTATCGGCTAGGGCGCCTATCGTGAAAAACGTTTCGAGAGACTCGGAACAAATGAAAACGCGCGTCACGTGACGCTGACCTAACGCGAGACGCGGATCGCCGTCGCCGGAGCATAATGCCGCCCACCCCTTCCCCCGCCCCGGCTATTTCGCGTTGTAGACTTGTTTTTCCCGGAACAACCTAACGCCGTATCGTAATGCAATACCCTACGCCGCATCAAAACAACGATAACAATCTGAGCGCGCCGACGGCCGGGTTCGGGGCTGAGATTTTCGGGGTTGCCCCCGCCGGTCCCGGACGGGCGTTGCGCGCAAACGCAACAGACCCGCCGCACCAAACCACCCCGCGGACGGTTACCCACATCCGTTTCTGGATCATGAACCGCCCGCGGCCGGCGTCGCGTGCTTTCTCTTAGGAAAGACTTATTTCGGTCAAAGACGCTGGTACATCGTCTAGTGGCCCAGCTGCCCTAACTGCCATCTAGCCGGCTTACGCGGACTGGAAGGCTATGCGGCGTCTAATTGACGTCGGGGGCAAGCGTCCCCGTAGCTGTCCGCGTACTTAGCATGTTTAATGCCTCTCCCTCTGGGGGAGTATAGCCCGCGCGAATCGCTCGAGAGCCGCAAGTGACCGGGAAGACGCTACCAGGTCGGTAGGACTCCACGGCCCTTGGACCCCCGAGGCGCACAGGGCCTCACTCAGTTGCAACCGTAGCTCGGTTCGGGGCTGACAATGCGAATCTCCCCGACGGCACTGCCTTAGTACCGACACGCCGCGCGTATAACAAAACGCGCGTATCCCCGCGGCTCCGCGGCCGGTCCTCCGGCAACAGCGCGCGGGAACGAGCCCGTTCGGTCCAGAGGACAGTCGCCGGATAAAACGGGTATAGGTATCGCGTAGGCGACTGGCGAATCGTGCCGTGCAATACCGACGCTATATTTCCGGGGGGGGGGGGCTGAAATTCGACAGGAATACTTTTTTTTAAGTACGTTTCAAAGGCGCGTTTTCCGGCGGTCTATTAAGGAACAACCGTAACGCGGTTCTCCGCCTCTCCGGCGGTTTTCTTCGTATGCACACGTACAATACATTTGTACACATTGCGTTTGGACGGACGCGTTTTCGCGTCGCGACACGTCTCGCGGGCACCCGCGGTGTTATTGCGCAAAACCGTACCGACGAAATACAACGGTACGTTTATTATTTATGCATACAAACGAAAGATAAAACAAACAAAAAAAAAACCGTTCTGTCGAACGACAATAACGGTGCGCTATGAGAACACGATGAATCGGAACGTCGTTGCGTGACCGCGGCACCCGCTCGGGTTTCCTCGTACGAATGGTTTTCGTCACCTCCACGGCGTTTCGCGCGCGCGAAAACGCTCGCGGTCACGAGACGCGACCGACGTTCGCGTACCGTGCAAAACGGCGTTTCCCAGCGTCATCGACGGCGTTACGGACCGCTCGGAGAGCCCTCGGCGCGGCGTCGGGTCGGGCCGGGTTTTCGGCGCGCGACCGGTCCCTCCGGTCGTCATCGCTCGCCGTTCCCGTCGGACGCGCCGCGGCCGCGGGTACGGGGGCGGCGGTTAACTTTATGTCCGCAAAAACAACACACGCCGGCCGGACGTAACGCGTGCCACTTAAGGCGGACGGTGCACGCGCGTTACGCTGTACATCGTTGCCCGGGCGTTTTTTTCGTACGCTGCCGTGCGACGTGCGCGCGCGAAACGTTTAATTTCCGATTTCCGTCGTACGCCCGCGCGAAACGCGGTCGGTTGTTTTCGTTATTTTCGTTCGTTGCGCGGCCGCGGTCTTCCGGGACGAGCCACCCCCTCCCGGCGGCCGTCCGCAGAGCACTCCGCTTGTCCGCCGTACCCGCGCGGTCGCTGGCAATCGACGCCTTCGCCCCTCCCCTCCCACCCCGGTTTCGGTTCACATTAGTTCGTCGCCGGTATTTTCCGTCCGACGCGAACTCAACGGGTTCTCGCGTTTCGCGTCCGCCGCGACGACAAATTGCGCGCTGCGAACGCGGCGTTCAAGCCCGGTCTAAAAGCGCGAAAGGTCGTCGCGTATACGATATATCATAATGGTGTGGGTGACAGTGAATGGACGGCTATAAACTGAGTTGTTCGGCTAGGGCGACAAAAAATGTTAAACGCGTCCCGGCTAGATATCTACTTTACCGATTTACCAAACACCGTGACGGTTCAACGGTCATGGTACTTCAGTAGACTATAATCAAAATATGATATAACCGAAATCGCCAAAACGACAATGTTTATGAAACAGAGTAACCCGGCTACATTTGGCCGAAACACGCGTAAAACCGTCGTAAAAAAAAAACGATATTTTCCCGTGTAATTATCGCGTGTGGAGATTTCCGTCAATACGGTACACTAACCGTGATTTTGCGCACGTTTCAGGTCGGTATCGCGTAAAATGATAACCGCCGCGGCCGGTCACCGTCATAGAGGCGCAGATGAACGGCGTAGTGCGGGGACAGCATTCGATCACGTCGTCAGGTGCGATAACGACGGTGCGATTTCAGGACCGACGGCCGGTGACCGAAACCGCGACGCTGGTAACTACCCGATGCCGCCGCACTGATTTCGGCGACGACGGGACACTGCAGCAAACGGTTTTGTACGGCGGCGCCGACAGCGACCGCTGCAGCAGGGACGCGATGGCCGCGTCCGTAGCGTTGCTCGAACGTTACCAACAGCCGGCGGCCGTGACGGCCGTGACGGCACAGGCCGTAGTGGCTGACGGCGACCGGTCGCACAGGCACGGCGGCGGCGGCCACTATCGGGGTCACGGTTACCGGCCGCATCACAAGTACAACAGCGTGTCGGCCGGCAGCGCGCTGTCCAAGTCCATGCGGTATGCCGACGGTTGGCTGTACGAACGGGACGCCGGCGGGACCGTGGGCCACGGCCGGGGGAGCGGTGGCCGGAGCAAGGCGCAGCGTAGCACGTTCCTGGGACGCGAACAATTCGGGCCCGCGGCGACGACGGTGGCGGCGGCGGCCGTTAAAGCCCCGTCACAGCGTGCGCCGCCTCCGCCGCCGTCGTCCACGTCCGACGATCCGTACGATCGCGTCCGAAAAAACCGCATGGCCGGCGCGACGACGACGACGACGATCGCGACCGGGAAACCGGACAGAAAGCGCGGCCGCAGCGGTTCGCCGCGGACCCCGTCGCCGGACTACGACGACACGGGCGGCGGTATCACCGGGTCGTCGTCCCGTCGTTCGATCCTCGAGTGCAACGTCAATCCGTACGACCTCCTACGGCAGCCCTCCGACGACGACGACGACGACGACGACCACGACGACGGCGTCGACCGCGGCGACTGCAGTCCCAAGAGGATGTCGCTCAAAGACAAGTTCATCAACAGGATACAGGACACTGTGTTCACCAAGAATAGGACGAGCGTCGGCGGCTTCGGTTCGTTCTCGTCCAACGGTTCGGCCAAAAAAACTACCGCCACCGAACGGAACAGCGGCGGCGTCAACATCGCCGGACACACGGTAAGCGTCACCTAAGTGATCCATTCAGATACGTTTACGAACGCGCTGTTTGTCGGAAACATTTTTTTTTACGGTACCGATATAATGTTTTGTTGTGTGTATTCAGGTGCGGTTGTTCGACGGGAAGACTACAGTTAACCATAATAAGACCCCGTCGTCGTCGTCGTCGTCGTCGGTGTGGTACGACGACGGGTCGGCTGCGGACGCGGCGGCCGCCGCGGCGGCCACCACGACGCCTACTGTAACGGTCACGGCAACGTCCCAGGACCAATCGCCGGTCAGGCCTCCACGACGCCGGTGCAAACCCCCGGTGGCCGCCGGCGGCGGTTCGTCCGCGGGCCCGACCAAGCGGTCGCATTCGCTCACCGCCAGCACGACGCCCGTAATGGCCGAGATCAAGTCCATACTGAAGAAGCCCGTGTCGTTGACCACGGACGACCTGAGCCCGGTGAGGGTCCGGTCGCCGGACGCACAAACCACGGTGCCGTCGGCCGCGGTACCGCGCGACGCGTCCCAGAAGAAGACCAAGAAACAGGTGCAATTCGACATCGTCACGGTGCCCGCGATCGAGACGGCCCGTCCAGAGAGCCCGGACGGGGCCCTGACGCAGCCGCGAGACTGTAGCGCCGCGGCCGAAATCGAGCCGTCCGCCTCCGCGCCGGCGCCTGCCGCGTCACATCCACAACAATGCCGCGGCAGACAAAGTCCGATCCGTAAGTCATCCAAATGTCTAAGGCGGCCGTCGTTATCCGTTTTCCCGAAAGATGCTTTCTACCGGTTTCGATTTCTTCGATTTCTTTATCTGTTTTGCGACGACGCGTGTTGACAGCGTTTCGTCCACGGTGTTTCCGCGGAACGATAAAACCGAAAAAAACAATTTTCGCCTTGAACTGTTTCACCTATTGGATTGCGTCGACTCGGCGGCGACGAATCTCTTCGCCCGAATCGAGCGTCTGATTAATCTCGGTCGACTCGATGAAAATTAGATTTCTCCAAATTCTGTAGCACGTGCGATTCGGCGGTATTGCACGCGGCATTGACTTGTCGCTAATGGCGTAACGTGATTTCTCCGAGTCCTTCTCCGCTATGACGCACCGCGCGCGTAATTACGCCGTTCAACGGCCGACTAACGCGGTAATAAAGTAACCGGATTCGGACGGCGGTTGCGGACGGCGAACCGTGATTTCTGTCGTTCGACCGTCGGGACCCCGGGCGAGATTTTAACTCGCCCGATTTTTAAACGACCGCCGGTAAACCGTACCGGGGCCGAATCGAGTCCCAGACGCCGCATTGGTTTTGTCAATCGCCCTCGATTCGTTTCCGACCGTACGATATCCCTACGCGGCCCATCGAAAGCACCGTCGTCATCTGCCCCGTGTCCCCCGTATTCGTGTCACGTTGTGACGAATTTGTTATTTGTTTTTTTTTTTTTACTATATATTGTTTATTTACTTTTCGTACAGCTGGCGCGGACGTGATCGTGGCGGCCGTCGAACGGAAACTGAAACGGAGCCTGAGCGACAGACAAAAATCCGGGAATGCGGCCGAATCGGACGACGTGACGGTGTTCAACGACACGATGCGGATCCATGTCCGGCACAAGAACAGGCCGGACAGCCGATCGGCTTTCGATAGACCGGCCGAACCTCCTCCGCCGCCGCCTCCGCCTCCGCCGCAAGTCCCTCGACCGTCCGCCGCCGTACTTCGGCCGGCGGCCGTTACCGAACTGTTCCTGTGCAACGGCAACGGCGGTACCGAAGATAACTGCAAGACGGTCGTCCAAGTACAGTCCGACGACAGTGGCCGGGGCGACCCGCAGGAATATCCCGCGGAACCGGAACAGAAGACGTCTATATTGATCAACTCGAGTCCGGGCCTGAAGACGTCTGTGATAATCGGCGAAGGCGGCGCGGCATACGCGGCGTCGTCAGACAACAAGGTGACCATAAGCATAGGGCCGACCGAGTCGAACGCGAAAACGGCCGGTCGGGGCAGGGCCATCGGGAACTACCGGAGCAACGTGACGGTGGTCGACCGGGCGGGATCGCGAATGTCCGAATTCATCCGGATGAACTACGACCCGGTGCAGGCGGCCAGGCTGGACATGACGCCGCACGTGTGCGGCCGACGGTCCGCCGGGGATACGCCGCTTGTCAGCCCGTACAGGGTGTCCAACATCGAGAAGCACCACCGCGGTGGCGACGGCGTCCCGTCGCTGTCCGACGACGCCGAGTCCAGTTCCGAGTCGTGTTACGCCTCGGCCAAGGAGGACGCGTCGTACACGTCCACGTCGTCTTTCTCGTCGTCCTCGTCTTCGTCCGCCGCGTCCTGTTCGTCGTCTACGGCGGTCGCCAGCGGGTCGCCGCACATGCACCGCCAGAGCGTCGGCTACGACCCCGAACCCATCTACGAGGAGATTTCGGAATCGCCCACGCCACCGCCGTTGCCGTCATGTCCACCGCCCGAACGTGCGGTCGACCCGCGGGACGAGCCGGCTGCCGCCATACCGTCCAGGTCGATATTCGAAGGGGCCACCAAGTACGACATCATTAACTACTTGGTGGACGCTAAGCGCCGCTGTGGCGCCCTGCACGACACCAGCTGCCACCCGAAGTTCGTGGTGATGGCTGACGAACAGGCCGCCGGTTCGTCCGAGTCGGACGCCAACGGTACAAACGACTCCGGCGACGAGTACGGCGTCGGCGCCGGCGGCTGTGGCAGGGGTACGGGGACCGCGGCCGCCGCGGCCCTACAAGCCGCCGCGGCCGAGGCCGCCAAAAGGGCGTCGGCGGACATCGAGCGCAACGACTCGGGCGTCGGTTCGGAGACGAGCCAGAGCTCGCGGAGCAAGTGGCAGCAACAACACGAGGCCCAGCACAGTTGCGAGGATTGCGATCAGCTCGTCGAAATACAGACGACGGACGGGTGAGTACTATCGGTATTTCGGTATAATACGTCGGCCCGGCACTTTTTCAGAAAAAATAAGTCGATACCGTTCGCGGGCAGCACGCGGACCGCCGTGTGGTTAGTTGCAGAACGCAGGGCATACAGGGCGATATTCGTCATAAATAAATACTGCACGCGACGGATAAATCATTGCAAACGAAAAACCGATTTTTAGCGGAGTAACATTAGTCGTTTTTTCGCAAAACAGACGTCCGCCGTCTTCGGATACCCCGACGACAAATGGAGGGGAGGGGGCGGGGGAAAACTACGCGCAAAGTGCACCGCTGCAAATGTCGACAAATGTTTTCGTCAATGTACCAAACTGAGCTAATAACCGGGTAAACGTATTTTATGCGGAGACGAGTTAGGTTTTGAGCGTGCTATTCAAATAAAGCCCGAATGAAAGACGTAATTGCGGTCGTAAATAAATGATAATTACACTTAAATCGTTGGTTCGGAGCGGTCGTTTTGTGATAATTTCATTGAGCAATAACAGAGAAGGAAATGAATAAAATGAATTGTGCGTTTAAACTAAGTGCGAGTATTAAGAAATAATTAAAAAGTGGATGTCTTCTGTTCTTTGTTTCGCCAAAACCGGCCACAGATTTATTCAAATGTATTTTATTAGCCCCGTCTTTTTCGAGGTCGGTTATCGTTAGATTCACGTTTATCCTTTTGCGTTTCACATTTTATCGGCGTCGGCGCGTTTATGATATTCAAGAACGCATTTCGAAAAATATGGCGGCCAATAGCGTCCGAATCTCGTAAACGATGTAATATCCATCTTCTTGTCAAGCCCGACTTTGAAATGTCAATAATAACAACAATAGTAACAAAAATATAAACGCAAACTAATACGTATAGGTAAATACTCAAATGATAATATGAACCTATTGATTAGAAAACGAATTTGGTAAGACCGGGAAAAAAATCACATTTACGTTTTAAATGTCGTACCGCGACCAATAATAACCTCTAACCTGACCAAGGGGTTAGCCCGTCGGTCTGTCGTTCTCCACATTCGCAAGCTCCGCCGTCTTTTTCACTAAAGTCCCATTTAACCGAGTCGGATTTATTCCTCGCCGCTCCAGCTTTTTATCTGTTTAAGGTATCCGTGGCGAGTTTCCGCCCGACCGAAGTCGTTCATCTCACTTCGTGTGGGATTCGTGCAGTTCTTTGGCCGCGTGCACGAAACGTCTTCGGGATTTAAGTCCCGTGGTCAATTACAATAAATCCGAACGCAGGGTGTCATTCGTTCTTCGTCTGTTCGGTTTTTTTCCCGCTAGAATACCAACAAACGGTACAATATAACAACTAAACAATACGACCCCCCCCCCCGGGCCATTTAGAACGTCACATTAATAATCGTGTTGAGCCGTGTTGAGCGGTTTACCCGTTTGGCCGCGAATATGTAATTTTCGGAATCGAATTCGCTCGTATTTAAAAACCATACGAAATCGACTTAAACCTCCTCCTCCTCCTCCTCCTCTTTTTTGTCTGGCACCGAAGATGCGTAACAATGGTCGGCCCGCGGCATTCGCTCGGGCGCAGCGGCCGCGTTTTCAGGCGATTCAAATATTATCGCGTTTTCGGTTTTTATCCGCCCACGACGACGGGGCGATAACACGTCGGCCTAAAAACAAAAATAACCGCTCTCTTTTGTGCAAAGTCACGTTTTATTGTATGCACGATATACGGTGTGCGCAACGCGTTGAGAAAGTGACACGCGTGCGTAGCAGCGTAATATACAGGGCGGTTCTTTGGTTCGCGTACCAGCGATTTTCTCGGAGGATTTTAAACGAATTTGATTTGTTTCGTTTTTTCAACTATTTACCACTACTCCTCGCACCCGAAACGGGTATCCGTTTCGGATATTCCCGAACAACACCCTCCCGTTTCAATCACCGCGCATTCGAATGGCGAATATTTTTCCAGAAACGTCGATATGCCCATCAGATTCACCGTTTACGAGGCCGCGGCAGTTTAAAGTTCAAGCCGGAGCGTGCAGGCAAGGGGGCGATAAATCGAAAAAACTATTTTGAAATGATAAACCGATAACTGTACCTTACTTCCCGTCGGTATGAACTTCAAACTGTTATAACACCCGCGGGCGGTCAATCTGTTAATTGTTTGTTGCGCGTATCGCCGCGTCCGAAATAGTGTTAAAACAATATTCAAACGATCCAGCCACCCCGCATAACGATAGGAAACAAAAAAAAAAAAAAACGGAAATCAATTTCTCTCGAAACACTCCCGGACAATTGACCGCGCTGTATACGAACGTAGTTTAGGCCGCGCGTGGTTCCGGTGTTATTATTCACGAGCGGTTAATTTGAAAAAAAAAAAAAAAACAAAAAAAAAATTAAAAACAATCCGGGCCCGCAGCCCGAAGACCGCGATAATCGCGATAATCTGCGATCGCGTGTCACCGCGTTTTAGCAACGCGGCTCTAATACGTTGTCGTCGTGTGCGCGGACCGCGAGTCTCGCCGCCGTCTGTTTTCGGTCACGATTCGCCGGCAAACGAAACGTTCCCGCGGCCGTCAAACGCGCCGCGCCGCGGCAACATTGCTGCCGTCCACTTGTTACCGCGTAACAGCACGCGCAACCGAGAACCGCGCGTAACGAGACCGTCGGATTAACAACGAGCGTTCCCGAAAATTTCCGCTCTGTTCATTTCGTTTTGTCGGAGCGTGCGGCCGCACCGGGTGGCCCCCGGAGGGTTCCGTTTCAAAACGCCGCTTTCGGCGGGGGCGGGCGAAAATCAACGCGACACCGGTCGTCAAACGGTACAACCTCCGAGTTCAACCTCTGCGCAAAACATTTACGGTAATTAAACGGCGACGTTTCATACGGTTTGAGGGACGGGAGTGCGTCCAGACACGAACGCGACTGGATCGGCTAGGTCAGAACATTTGTATGCGCGTCAAATCGAATAAATACTAAAGAAAACACCTCGATAACTTTGAATTACTACAGGAAAAAAAAACTGAATTTTAATATCGTCAATTGTCCCGCGTTGTTCCTACGGTTTTTTTTCCCGGTTTTCCTCGTCACTAAGACAACTGCAAAGAAAACGAAAAAGTTACCGCCTTGTCGTTGAAACTAGACAAAATTTCCGTTGAGAAAGTGTATCGCAGTTATGATCGGAACGAGATTTCTGGTAAGTCGTAGTATAGACAATAAAACACGAATTGTAGCAAAAGGTAAACCCGGCGCATTGCTCGTTGAACACAAAAATCTAAAAACCTAAAAACAGAATCTAAAGTGTCCATTAGATAATCGCTATTAAACAAAACGAATCAATCGACCAATCGTTACCCAGAACGTATAATCCCACAGTCGTCATTGATAACAATAAACAATTTTCGAGTTTTCTCGTTTCGCGGCGAACTATATTATTATTGGTATTGTTGTCAGATTATGAATAGGAATGTATTGGTTTTACAACGATGTTTGTTTCCTTTATTTTTCGGGGTTATTTTTTGAAATTCTCATTAATATTCGAGATGACGAGGAAGACACGGATTCTTGGGATAAAAAAAGATTGAAAGATTGGAAACAAAGTCGTCATCGGCAACCGTTTTTTTATTCATTTTTTTTTTTTTTGTTATTATTAATTAATTAATTTTAAATCTTTTTTAAACAATCATTGTGGTCACGGAAATGCCCGTTGTTGTAATCATTTTGCCATAATATTATGATACGTACGTTGTTGACAAAGCAACACTATCAAACCAAACTCCGAATCGTTGTTTTGTCAGCAATGGCTTTATCGCTGATATACATTACATTCCCGTCTGTATGCTATCTTTCCAACTTCCCACCCACAAAAGTGGCTGCGCCCATACGTACGGAGTATTCTGTTCTTTTTTTTTTCTTTTTCTTTCTTTTGTCGCTATTATCAGAACAAGTACGTTTTTTGACATTTCAACGCGGTGAACCGTATCGGTTCAAAAACGTCGACGCGCGCACGGCCGTTGACGCGTATTCCGCTACGGGAAATAGCCGAAACCGGCCGAACCTCGGAAATGCCAGGGGCAAAACGGGAAGTTAACGTCGTGCTTCGACTTTTGCCCGGTGATCAACCGTACGAAATCGCGGCGTTCGTAAATTTCAATAATTACACAGTAGGGTGTGACATTGTGTTTTAGTATTTTTTTTTTTTTTCAATATTCCGTATAAAATAACGAAAAAATACGTAAATATTATTTGTTCCGGACACGATTAAATCCGATTGAATTTGTGAATTGAAAAATTTAATCCGCCGGATTACAAAAGAAAAAGATCGAAAGTAAATTTGTTTATTCGTTGCTAATATTGCGCCGTTCGCCGTCCTCGGTAATAATTCGGGACGTTTACTCGCTACGGAAACGCGAGACTTACGGACGCTGTACGGTTTCGCACAAATGCGGCCGGTGACTACCGGGTTTCCCCGGACAACAAAAGCGCCGTAATATAAAGGCGTTTTGGCCGAGTGTTGCGGGCACTTTGCGTGTTTCCCGGACGTTTCGGGGGTTTGCCGGTTTTCGGCCTTTCCCCCCCCCTCCCCCCCGTAACACATTTCTATGCTGTATGTCTCTGAATAAAGGCGCATTGTCTCCGGGCTTAATTATTGGATTTTGTGAAACAAAAAAAAAAACGACGAAACAAAACCGTACGTTTTTCGGGCGTAAACTGACGGATGTCCGTGTGACGATTCTGTCGACAGGGGCATCATGTTCGCGCCGTTGGTGTGCCGCAAATGTCACAAGCGCCGGGCCGAGCGCCGGGAGATCATCGCCGAAATCGTGGAGACGGAAGAGAAGTACGGCCGGGACTTGGACATAATCACCGAAGAGTTTTACCGGCCCATGTTGGTGGCGGGTCTGCTGAACGCCGACCAATTGACGTCCGTGTTCCTCAACGTTTCCGAGCTGAAAGAGCACAGCGCCGCGCTGTCGCTGAAGCTCCGCGACGCCTACGAGATAGCCGTCGAACAGGGCGACGACGACCTGCTCACCGTCAACATCGGCCGGCTGTTCCTGGAGGCCTCGCCGTCCATGTTGCACGCGTTCCAGTCGTACTGCACCCGACAGGTATTTGCATCGTTTCGTTTTTTAGCTTCGAACATAAAAGAAAAAAAAAAAAAAACTATCAGAGTACATACCGTACGGAAATCCGGGTTACGGTAAACGTTTATTTTGATTTCAATAAACCGTTTAAAAAGTTCCGAAACACCGTCATTACTGGTGGTGAACACGTAATCCGGATCAATCGAACATCGGGTGTTGCCTTTACCGATCCGGGTTGACCGAAATGTGACAATCTTTACAATCCGGATATTACAACGGCCGATTCGGAATTCGGTTTGTTCGAAAACGACTAGAGTCGCTCGGTCGTTACACCACTTTAAAAATGATTTCCGTTGCAATTATTCAGTAACAACCGTTAAGCACATAGTTTGTTTACTTTTTCCCTCTCCCGGATTCATCCGAATTATCGAATTTTACAATCTAGTTTTATATCCGGATTAGCCGGCTTTTTTCTAAAATTTTTTTTTTTTTTCGTGCTTAACCCGGATTTTCGTATTACGAAAACTTCTGCTCAGCGCTGTGGTTATAAATTATAATATACCTCCTAATACAGTATTTATAGAAACAAAACAAATGCGTTTTTAAATCAACGATTTTCGTACTGCAGGGTAACGCCGCTCTGCTATTGGCCAACCTGGAGAAAGAGAAAGAGCTGTTGCGCATATTCTTGCGGGTGTCGCAAATGGAAAACGCTGTGCTACGCCGGATGAACCTCAACAGTTTCCTAATGGTAAGTACGACGCGTGACTTATCGGTGAACTTGACCCATAGCCGAATAACGACACCAAGTAGATTATACGGAGTAGGCGATCCGAGACATAAAACGTTCGTTTTATTACCGGCAGCAATACGATTTCTATACTCCTCACGAGGTTTACTGGAAAATAAAATGTATATAAAAGGGAGTAGTTGTTTTTACAAGGAAGAGCAAATGGGGATTGATTCCGCCCGGTGGCTTTTCTATAATTCTTTGCATTATTTTTCTCCCCCCTCCCCTCCCCCCGTGCGGATTTCCGCGGACAGAGGTTATAGATACTGCACAAGTTGCGTACAATATGAAAAAATGATTGCTTCGCGAATTTCGGTAAACCGTTTTTTTTTTTTTGTCGTTTCGAGCGACGGGACCGTGCGCCAATAATATTATCGTTTTCCGAAAACAGGTGCCCGTACAACGAGTCACCAAGTATCCGCTTTTGTTGGCCCGTCTGTACAAGGTCACGCCCGAACACCACCTGGAGGCTAGACAGACGCTCAACGAAGCGAGACACAAGATACAACTGCACTTGGAACACATCAATTCGGTGAGTTCTTTTTTATTTGTATTTTTTGCGTTTTTTATTTCGCGGAAAATATATACGAATCCGTTTTTTGTTTACAGCTGGCTAAAGACATCAGTTCCACGAAACTGTGGCGAAAGATCTACGCGATCAACGGCAAGCGACCGGATAACGAGGACCTGGCGGACATCAAATTTCGCAAGGTGTGTAATAACGTTTATTTGTATACGGTGTCGCGAAAGCAGCGAATAGAAAATTAAAAATCCATTAATGCGAAAAAAAAAACCCCGACGAAATAAATTGTTTGGAAAAGAGCAGGAGTGACAAGATCGAGATAATGTTGAAAGGTTAGAAGCGAAGGAAAAAAATAGAAAGATTAAAAGAAGAACAGTGTAAAACTTTTGTTCGAGAAATGCCAGCCTTAAGGTGTATAGAATTACGGTGCCGAATATAATATTTGACTTTAAAGTTATTCTGTAGAGCCGTTGAGCCTGTCTCCCTCGAGTCACCTTGATAAGCCTATTCGGTGGCCTAGCCAGAGAGCTGCAGTCATTGACCGTCTTTAAATTAAAAGAAATTGATATAAACTCTAGATTAGGTTCAGATATTCACTGTAAAGCGTTGACAACTTATTACTACGTCTCGGAAGTTGTACGAGCTAAGATAAACGAAATATGCATGCAAGTACGCGCAAAACTATTAAATGTGCGAAATAAAATAACAGTTAACAATAGATATGAACAAAAATGCATTTTTAATATTTTTGAATTTCTATGTTAAATAAACGTAATATTATGATTCGTTTTACGCGGCGGCTCTACGGATTATACAAACATAGATATAAGAAAATATTAAAAAACGCACTTTTGTTATCTAAAATTGACTAACTATGCGCTTTACACTGTACTTTTCTGGACTCGTCGGTCAATGGTGTATAAAAGCTATAGCTTATTGGTCTGCTATCAATCGATAACTTCCTACACGTTGCTTGTAAAATAATAATCGTCATACATGTGCGAGCCCAGCCTCTAGACTAAAGTTTAATCTTTGATAGCGCCGGACAGATAATAGATCGGCGCACCGAGCTTTAGAATTTTCACCTACTCAAAATTATACGAAATAGATCAAAACGGATGTAAATTCGGTTAATTAACAAGTATAATTCTGTGCGTGCCGCCGAAATTTTCTCGGTAGCTCACCGGTTAAATCCGCGCCTGATTCTGGATACGTCACACTCGAGTTTACCATTATAATTAATGTGGAAATCGTCGTGGTTTTTTTTTTTTTTTTTTTTTTGACGCGTCCCGTACGAAATAAACAAAAACCAGATGTGTTTTCTTGTCGCATTATTGTTGAATAAAGATGATTTTTTTTTTTTTTTTTCCCCGGTGGCAGGTGGCCGTCGACGTGCTCGAATGGTCGGGACTCGGAGAAGAGATCCGGTTCGCCATGGAGGGACGGCTGCTGTACACGCAACCGTCGGACCACAATTGGCGGCGCGGAGGAAGGACCATCAAGCTAATGCCGATAAACGCAATCATCGTGACGCTCGGAAAGGTGAACAATATTTTATAAACCATGCTTACCGTAACAAAATAGTCTACAACCCATGTTCACCGTGTTTCCGTTAATGGCAATGTTCTTATGCGTGTGACGTTACGTGTTTTCAGCCCAACGACAATTACAACCCGGACGCGGACGACGTCGGATTTCCCAAACAGAACGGCATCAGAGACGCGTCGCTGGTGTTACTCAAGGAAAAGAGCGGTCGAATCAGTTTGCTTCGGGTACGTACGGAAAATGTAATACGAGCGATGATGTTGTAACCCCCGTTTCCCTGAAAATACGGCGAAAAAGTAATTTCAAAAAAAAAAAAAAAGCCGAACTTTTTTTTTTTCATTTGTGAAATCAGGACCCTCGTCACTCCCCGGAATAGCGATTTGCAGCACGGGGCCGCTAATTTCATTTATCCAACCCCGTCTGCATATACATTTATTCCGGAACTTTCGATAAAGTTCCGTCATTTATTTGGTACTTGTCTGTGCGATGGGATACAAACGATATAAACCTTTTCTCGGGGGAATGGTGAAAGAGGCTATTACGACTCGAACTTTCTCCCCCGAGAGTTTTTTCCCCCCTCCCCCCGTCTTTTTTTTTCCGCGACGTTACGGACACTGCAGAACATCGTTTTATCAATGACGATTCGATTTCGTGTATATATATATGTATGTATGTGTGTGTGTGTGTGTGTGTCTGTGTGTGTATGTATGTATAATGTATATACAATCCATCGGACGACTATAATCCGTGTTGTCGTACGGGCAAACTAAAAAGAAAACTAACAGTATAATCATTCGGATTTTAATTGAAGATTGATATTTCAGGAGCCCATGTATTTGGACCGATGTGTAGTGTGCTGTGAAAGCGACTTGGACGATTACTTCGAACTACACGAAATCACCAGCAAGGACACGTACATACTGAAAGTAAGTTTACAGAAATTCGATATAGGTGCACGCCATATGACAATAGTACACCCTGACCTCGCGCGAGTCTCCCGAGTTTGACGTGTTGTTCGGAATGTTTCCTACGTATGTTGCTTTGCTTTAGTCATCGATTTCCGGTCAGAGAATAAGGCGGTCGTCGACGCGGATGCGAAAAAATGTTTACTATTCTGTCAAAATGCTTGTGATGCTTCCAGCAATGTACGTCGTTTAAAAGAAAAACGGCCGACACACTTGCCATATCCGTCACAATGTTATAATGGATTCGGTTGTTTGAAGTGGCCACCCTTTTGTTTAGGTTTTTATCGTCACTAGTGTATTCTAACGAGCGCCTCAACCCGTCATGAAATGGATCAAATCAACGAGCCTTTCTTATTTTAATATATGCATGTGGTATAGCATTTTCATCTTCAATAATGTAGTTTCGACCCCTTAAGACCACGCCATCCAACACAATTGTCACCAGTTTTGCCCTTCCAATGTCGAGTGCCTCCGATTCACACCGGGCTTTACTTTTTCCACGTCTTCCTAAACTGTCCGTGTTTACGGTATGGGTGGCCTACCCGCTCGAGCCGCTTCATAGCAATGTGTTCCGTTGTCGGACACCAATTCATTTCTTCCCTATTTTCCAGATTTTCCATTCTCCTGTATAACCATATATTTTCCTAATGGCCTTTTTATCAAATACAACTGGTGGGTTCCCGTCGGTTATCCGCAGCGTCCACGTTTGTGACCCATAAGTTACACGGAGATATTTGCTATAAATCATAAAGTCATCATATCAGTTATAAACACGGAAAGTAAGAGTTCGGGTCGCACTCTTAGTAAATATAGACATCGGATACAATAATAGTATACAAATATCATCAAATAGCGCCTTGATCGAATTGATCAATCGCCTGGCAATAATGTCCCCGGGCCTTATCTTCCAAGACTCCATTAAAAACGGTTTGAAAAACGAGCAAAATAGTTTAAAGAATAAAAAAAAAATTGAAACTGATTTGAACTGTGCGCTTAACTGTCTGTTAAATATTTCGAAAATTAACCGACGGTTTATTATTTTTCGACTGTTACAGGGCCAAGACGGCGAACAGACGAAAATGTGGTACCGTCAGCTTCAGTACCACTGCCAGACCTTGGGATGCTGGAGGAAAAGACGAAACGCGCTGGCCAACATAATGATCAACAGGAATTGTACGTAGACCTGCAACACGCCCAGAACCGAGAATTCTACATGAAAAAAAATAAATAAATAAATAAAAATACAATATTACCAAAACAAAAAAGTTATAAACGAACAAAACCCCGACCATTCGCGTTACCAGTTTATTTAACGATTTATTATTATTATTTTTATTATTTTTTTTTTTTTTAATCGTTATAAATTATTTTAAATAACACACGTTCTTATTTTAGTGTGCAAATGTGTATTACGATTTTACGTTTTATTATTATTATTATTATTATTATTATTGTTTACTGGCGATATTTTACCCCGCGATCGCCCAATCTAAATATGAAATTAAACGTATGTACGAAACGAGTTGTATTCGTTCGCGCAACGGGGGGGGGGGTATATATATAATATATGTATTTTAAATTATATAAAATTATAAAATTATAAAAAAAAATAAAAAATAAAATTGAAATTATTTATAAAAATAGTCGACATTGTCGTTGTACGGCGAATTCAAAAACCAAACACGCGGGAGGAGGGCAGGGGGGGGAGGGGCACGCGCGACATTTCGGTCGAGACGATACCGGACTGTTGTCGAGACTCTGCCGCGATATCATTTTAACTAATTTATACTATTATAATAATGTATTGTACTGTATTGCTATAAAGATTATTAGGATAATGTTCCTTTCTATTAATTATTATTATTATTATTATTATTATTATTATTAATATTGTTTTTTATCGACGTTGTTTCAATTTTAAACCGTAACAACAGCGTTGCGTTACAGTGCATTTGTGCGTGACGCGTCGCAACCGCACGCGTTTACATTATTATTGTTTACCGCAGTCGACTAGCTATTTATTTTTTAATCGCTTGTAATAATTCGGAATGCCGTTCGGACGGCAATAATTGCATTGAGCAAATAATAATAATAATATTATGTGTGTGAATATATTTATATATACAATGTATACATGTTGTTAATACGCGAAATTGAGTATTTTTTTTTTATTTTTATTTTTCTGATCGCCGTAAACGAACGCGTTCGTCGTGTTCTCGCGCCTCGGCTCCGGCCTCGCGAAAAACGGCGATTCCCGTCCCGCGCCACTCGGCGTCGTCTTAAGCCGCGGCCGAACGCAACGCGCGCGGCACAGCGATTTCCCGGTTGTCGCGCCGTCGGGCCCGTCGACATCGGCCCGGCCGTTACTAAACGTTCGATTCGTACGTTTTCAGACGTATCGAAATGTACGTGTTGAGGCGATAAAACAAAAAAATCCCCGAAAAATTATACGGTCGTCCGGAATGTGAGTATTGCGTATGCGCGCCGACAGAATCGACAATTCGAACGACACGACGGCGTAACGCGCGTCGTCCGGTGTCCCCCGATGGCTGCCGCAGAAACCCGCGAATCTCAACCGAACGTCACCGGGCCCGGCCCTCGAAACGGCGAGTTTTTCAATTGAAGCCTCGTTTTCTCGGGCCTATAGCCGTTTTCGCGTAACTCGGTATTCAGTGGGAAATGCCGCGACGATTCCGATAACGTGTCGCGGACTCCGTGGGAACAAGTGAAAACCTATCGGTTCGGTTTGAATGTCCGCGCGCACACTCGCGCTGCACCAAAACCGAAACGACCCGCCCGAGAAAACGATTATTTGAAATGTTCGGGAAAATCGTATTTATTTATTTTTTTTTTTTTTATTATTATCAATATAATGTTTGGCCGCGTATTATCGTTTGTTTATAATCATTTGAACGCGGCGCGTTTGTTTGAAAAAACAACCCGTCGTGCACGTGCACATATTGATTGTTACGCTATGGAAAACTTCATTTTTACAGTTTTACTCAATTGTGTTTGTATTTTCATCATGCGCGTATTATATTCATCAGAAACACGTTCGCATTGCAATGCAAAGGAACGATACGGTTTTTAGCCGTCTAATCGAATATAGTAAAATGGCTTTTTATTAAAAATCACATTCACTCGTAAATCGTCGTATAATCGTCCGCGGTAATTGAATCGCCGTGTTTAACCGCGTTGTATAAATGTTTTGGTCATCGATTCCCTTGCCGGCCGGTGCAAATCCGTCCCGTGTTAAGTGCCACGGTCCCGACAGCGCGTAGTCAATTCAGATGCCTCCCTGTAATCGTATAGTTGCTAGGCGCCTGACGCCGGTACGCGACGGTCATTTCAAATTATTAATAGTGTACATATTAAATGCAAATTTATCGTGTACCCGTTAAATAAACCATACAGGCGCCTGACGCACTTGCCGAACTCCGGTCGGCCGACGTTCGCGTATATTTTCGAACGTGTAGTTTATTTATGATGGGCTCCGTGGGGATTATGAAGAGCCCACTCGGCGGTGAGGTAGGCGGGTAGGTGACTGCTTCCCCCAGCCGCAACTTCGGCTCCGACTGTGAATTTTTAAACAAACACTGTTCGGATTGACCGCGTGCGCCATTATATTTTTTTCGACTTTTCTGCTACGGCGTGATTACGATTTCCGATATAATAATAATATATTCGGCACCGTGTCCGAACGAGCAATGTCGAACTTTTTTCACCGCGATGTCGACAATCCTAAAGAATCCACCAGGCCTGGGGCCTGTTCTCAAACGTATAGAAACCGTAGAAAAACGTACAAAAACGCTGTTCTCAAAACGTCTTCGACGACTACTATAGTTTGATAGTATCAGCTATTCGAACATTTATAGAGCGATAGGCACAGTGAATTTGGGAACGAAAACCGTTTTTGAAACGTAATTTCCACTATGATCAATTATAATTTATCAGTTTTATGATCATTTTAGATTCAGAATATAGTGAGGATTGTATTGGTTTTATAACGGTGTGGGTTTTTGTTTTCTTTTTGTTTACATACTGTGAACAATTTATAAACCAGAAATTTCGCTCCGATATGTCAAGTGTAGCATCTTTTCTGAAATAAAATTATACCTACTTGGTACTTGATGGAGGGCATTTTTTTTGATTTTCCAAGCGATTTTCATACTGATCGGGGAAAAAAGTAGGAAAAACGGGAAATCGTACGATAATATTACGGTCATAATAAAATTTCAGTTAGATTATTTCGAAAAAACCGTCATTTTCTTCCGGCATTCAACCCCGAGATTGGTTTTATGCAACTTCCCGTATTCTCTCCTTTCGTCTCTATTAATTTCTCTTACTTGCTATTACTCTATTACCTGTAGCTTAGGGTGACCACTGACCATACGTTCTGTTTTATGCAGAGTTGTATTTTTTTTCAGCTTTGTGTCCTGTTGTCCTGACGAACTTCATTCAGGACGCCTTTTGTCCTGTTTTTTATGCCAATGCCAATTATTCCGTATTAGTTTTTATTTTATTTTATTAGATTTAAATAGGTTATAGTTTTAACACTCAGATTAAAATTATATTTTAGTTTTGGATAAAATAAATTTGCCGATAAAAATATTGGTTATAGATTATCATGACAGTGATCGCGATTGTATTCGCGAAAAATCATAACAACAATAATCGATACCGGCGACAACACAGATATGATAAAATACCTATATAAATATAAATGGTATACCTGTTTAAAGCAGTCAACAATGTAGGCATAATTATGAAAAATTAACAAAAAAAAAAAAATCTATAATAATTAATAAATATTATTTTGAATATATTACTGAAATTATTTTTTCTTGTTTTTTTTTTTTTATTTTTTTTAAATATGGTCATTCTACTGTAGCTAGTGACTTCAATTATTTCCAGTTTTAATCGGGCGTGCGATTAGAGCGATTCTGTCGGAATATAGAACCAACGGCAGTGTATATTAAAAGCCGAATAAATGGTAAAATCCTTTATTTAATTAATAGTATCACCTGTACGGTATATTATAACACGGAGCGAAGTATTCGAAAACCGTTGCACGTAATTTTTATTTCGGTTTCTTTGTATTGTTGAAAAGTCTAAAGTTTGTGCGTACATGTATCCGTAGGTAGTCATCTCTACGTATATATGTGTGTGTGTGTGTGTGCGCTTTAAAATCAGTTTCGAAATTCTGCGCTCCGAATATTATTATTGCGTTCTCAAATGCATTGTAAGTAGGTATCTAATAATACCTATCTCGTAACAGCACATTTCGTCGAGGTGAGTGAAACGAGAAAAAAATACTCCCAAATAACCATAATCTATCTTGGTAATCTGTCTCTTTTCCCTCCTCCCACCCGCATTTCAAACACACAATAATTTATTTTACAACGTTGCATATTATAAAATATATTTGGTACATACCGACGTATATGTAGGTGAACACTATATTATACCGGGTGCTTTTTTTATCACGAACCCACGGCTGTCTAGTGGACTACCGAGTAAATTTAATTTCGGTTTTTATTTTTTTAATTTTTTTTATACAATACATTATAGAATCGTCCAATACGCTCTCGTTTACGGTGTATTTTTCAACATTTCACCTTTTATCTAAATAAATGAATCCAAACAAAGGTTTGCAATCTGTATCGCCCGTTCCCAACAGTAAACACCCTATGCTTACTATCCGCGGTCTAAATATTTTAAACTGTTCTTACGTGTATAACTTATTGGTGATTGGCATCGTATTACCAAACATTATACAAGAGAAGTATCTATTCTCTTTTTCAATCTGAGTTAAAAAAAAAAAAAAAAAAACATGGATTACAATATATATTTGAAAATCGATAGTTTATGGAGTGATTAGAGTAAACGAAATAAGGATAAAAGGGTAGATTTTTGAACACGACGGATGTCCCACGAGGATATATCCATTGTAATATCTCCGGAGATAAGGACTACGAATATGTATATTTCAATGAATTTTTTTTTATGTTTTGATAAAAAACTTAAAAAAAATAACTTTTTATTTTATTGTTTTTGAAAAATGTGAATATAGACATATTTTATAGAATTTATTCTTCTGAAAATGTAAAAGTGTACCTGCGGTCATAATAATATTTATCAATTAGCGAATGTGATTACAACCTACTGCATGATATCATTTAAATACTTACTTTTCACTGAACTCTAAATAATTATTAACAATCGCGACTTAATGAACATAAAAAGTTGACACGCCAAAAACATCAGAAGAATAGACTCTAAAAAACGGTTAACAATCGTCACATTTTTCGGAAATAAATAAAATAAAGTTATTTTCTTAGTTTTTTTTACCATAACAAAAGTTGAATCCAAATATAAATATGCGCGAGTGCTTATTTCTGCAAGCAATAGAAAAAAAAAAAAAATACAGAATTATACTATTTGTATTATCTCTGGAGGCATTGCGATTAGTATACTTTCGCGGGACGCCCTGTATTCTAAATGTGAACAATCAAAAAACCGCATGTACCGAAATCGAAACCAAATCGAAATCTTCGTATAAACAATCGCTGTTTCTTGACGGTGAAAAATGAACCACTCCGTATTATGGAAATGTCGAACACAAACGTACAGCGTTTACACACATAGCTACAGCATAATATTATATTACTATTATGAGATATTACACAAACACATATTGTAGTATTATTAAACATATAAATCATAGTTTAGGAAAAGTTTCTGACAATATTAAATTTATCGAGTAAACAATAACAATTCTATTGCTAATATATTATATTAGTGCTACATGCGCCTAACACAATAACGAATCGTCGTCTATTCGTTAAAAACGCGTACTTGCGCGGTGAATTTACAGAATTCGCGATGTACAATCGGCTTTCGCGTTTAATAATAATATACATTGTTCATTCGGACGTGAAAACGTAATGTTATAATAATATACGAATACAAAAGCGCAATTCATTTTTTCTTTTCGATAAAGTAAAGTATCACACTACTCTCAGAGCATTCTGAAAACAATGGGTACGGTCTTGTTTATCTAAACATAATATTAACGCGTCCCGCAAAAAAAAAAAAAAAAAAATACATGTCTCTATATACGTTGCTGTGGGTACTTATGGGTATTAGAGCTCGTTATTTCACGTGTACGCGTTTTCACGTATTCGCGTGAACTCGACAATCGAATCTGTAAAGCCGTGTAGAAAAAAATCCGTGTACACGAATGATCGTTGGCCACGTATTCCAATGTGCATTCGAAAATAAAACAAAACCATTTCACGTTATTATTTGACGTATTCTCGTGGACAAGGATAGTAAATTCGCGTGTATTAACAGTGTACGCGAGTGCGAATGTTCCGTGTTTCACGTGTACACGAACTCCGTGTCCGTGTACTTGTCCGTTTACGTTTTCGATCGAGACCTACAGCATAATAATATGCTCGCTTATTGTAAAATGTAATCGGTTTAAAAGAAAATGCGACATCCGTATGCGCCGCGCGCCAGGAACGATTTCGTGCTGTTAGTTTTGACATTAGAGTAAATTAATCTTATAACAAAATTTAAAGTTAAGAACATTATCTGTATTTGAACGTTCGTTTTTCGAAAAATTCATTTCTAAACGAGATCCGGGCATTTTTAAATTGAAATATTTCGCATAATCGTATTTCGTTTATTAAAAATTTAATATCGAAATGAAGCCGACGTGCGTACGCAAATAATCTTTCTTGTCTATGATTTCGATACTACTCTGGTTCAAGTCACTTTAATATTGAAACAAAACTCATAAAATATTGTCCCAACTGAACGATATTTTGCCATTTTCCCGTGCGTTTAGAAGGCTGAGGCAAGTCCTCAAAAAAAAAAAAAGAGAAAATATAAGAAATATAGGCGCGATGCCTACGATAATTTATTTAGCTAACAGAAAAATATATTTCATCGTCGGAATAAAAACGGAAAAGTAAAGTAATTAGAAAAATAGTTCGCTTTATTTCTAATGTATACTTCGAGCATTTCGCACCGAAGTAACATTTTATTAATAATAATAATTGTATTTATTTATACCGCGGTATTTCAATTAAAAATCTGAAATTAAATCCGTCATTTAATTTCGAATGAATAATAATATTAAATTAGGTAGTAGGTGGGCCGTAGTTTAGATTAACGCGGTCGCTAAAAATACTCGCAAGGATGGACACAAAATTGCAAAGGACTTTTTTCTTTTTTTTTTTTTTTTTTAAGCACCCGTAACTCCAACCAAAAATGTTTTAATTTAAAATCACAACTTTTAACCTTTTGGCATATATAGTTGCGTAGGTACTAAAAAAAAAAAAACATGCAGAAGTATCAAATAATAAAACCTTTGGAAAACTCGCGATACCACACGGTGATAAATTAAAAACCACTCAAAAATAATGTAAAATTGAATTGTAACATTACACAGGGTGATTCTACTATTATGATCTAAACAATAAATGTACATATTTAATTTTTTAATATTTATTTTTCTGTAATCCGAGTTGCTGGAAGGGTGACTATGAGGGTTTCCGTTTGAATATCAAAATATGAAGAGAGCCGGAGTAATAGTGTTAAAACAAAGTTTGATCAGTTCGTGACAATGATTGAAAAAACAGAAAAAACAGAATCAAATTTACTTAAAATATTCTGAGAAAATCGCTGGATCACGATAAAAGAATCACCCTGTATACAGGATCGAAATGTGCCCATTGTTCACTCGTGTTTGCTTTGTACACGGTTTTTTTTTTCAAATCTCTAGTGTATTTAATATATTTTGAGCAAGGGGAGTAATAATAAATTATTCATTTTCCACACACAGAATTTATAACTTTTTTTTTTTTTTAGAGCTTATGAACATAGGTAGGTGTACATCAAATACGAACACGATATTATCGGTTCAACTAAATTGTAATGTTGTTCGTTTTTTTTTTTTTTTCAAAAACGACTGCCGGCTAATTTAGTTTCATAACATTTTCCCAAACGGTTTGCCATTTATTTCCGTTTCGACGGTTTCTGATCTTTCTCTATACAATAAAAACGATTCAACAATCAATAATAAAAAAGTATAATTTTTTTTTTTTAAATAATTGAAGACCTTGGTGCAAAAACTTGCAAACAACTCAGTTTTTTATCATTTTTTCGAAAATGCACTTTTAAAGGAAAAACATAATAATCTTTATTAGGGCGCAACAATCAAACTGAATCCGATATAATTATATCAGTAGTGAGTACTTATAATATTCAATGGGAATTTGGAGTTTTCTCGTTTAAGAATTTCAGTACAACAATCGGATAAATCCTAAACAATACAAAATATACAATCCCGGATAAAAATATGCTGATTAAAAATGTCGGCGCAACAACGCCGGATAAGTAAATCCGAATAAGTAAAAACGTATTTTATCGTCACGAAACGATTTCAATTCTGTAAGTTATTGTTGCTCCGAGGTCTTCAACAGTTTATTAAATTTGACAGTTATTTTAATTTTTGCTCGCGAAAAACGCGATTTTTACCTGCCGTACGGCGCCTGTATTTTAGCGATTAACGGAAGAGTCATTGTTTCACCTGAAATTAAAAAAATACAAAACAAAACGAACATTTATGCGTTAACACAATCATTTTCCAGTCTTATTTTTAACTATTTGTGCGCAAACACTATACAAACGTTTCACACAGATTAAGTCCTGTTGGCACACAGAAAATCCACGATATATAGAGGATTAAACCTCGAGGGAAATACAGTTAAAAGTTTAATTTTGAGTTACTATTATTTTATACCTACCTATACTTCGATTTATCACATTCGGCAACTATACAACGCACCCAATATAATACCGAGTGCCTACATTGGAAATTATTTTGGAAAATTGATATTAATGATTTCCGTTTGATATTGTACAATAAAAACATTAATTATGCATAGTAAAGTTATATCGTGTAAAAAATGTATCTAATTATTTATTATTTATTTTTCTTTATTTTTTATATGTGTTTATTTTTTTAAACCAAATATTACTAAATTTACGACCGGAAGTGGGAACACACATAAACGGGTACTAATTACAGATTCAGACTGCGAGTATGAGAAGGCGGTGCAAAAATCGAATCGAACCGTCTAAATTGGAACGTCCTTTACTATCACTAAGAGAAGATAGAAAAGGTTTAATGGAAGTCAATTAGCAGATAATACAATTAAAATTGCTGATTACTGGGTAAAGAAAGGAATTTAAATACCATTGACTGACACGCAAAAAAAAAAAAGACTATTTTTACAAGCATACCTACAATGTTTTATGTATAAACTAACTTAATTATTATCCAATTTATCCCATGCTTAACGTTATCCGTATTAGAGATGATCATTGTTGCTCGGTAATTTTTCATTTAAAAATGATGGGTACTTATTTATCTGTGACAACCAAATAATTGTGGTTTTTTTTTTTTTTTATTTCACCCATGTTACCAAGGTAAACCAAAAATAAATAAACCATTATTTTTTAATACTTAAATATCAAAAATAAATTGAAGTAAACCACCAAGAACGTAGACTTTCACTTTATTGTGAATGTCAAATATGAATTTCAAGATCAAAATAAAACTTTTACAAGTAGATTTGTACAGCGAACAAACGGACAGAAATACTGGCTTTCAATTTTATATATAAGACCAAATATAACAAAAATAATAATTTATTCGTCTCATATGAAGATCTATAATAAACTGTCGGTTAACATACCCTCCCGCCATTTGATCCGCCACTAGACAAGACAAACAAATTGAGTGGGCGAGTACAACTACAGTGACACGACTAGACACACTTGCGGATTGAGGTCCGTTTCAAAAATTCAAACAGTCCTGAACAACATAAAGCTTTCCGACCTTCTCGCTCTGGGCAATCAAAGCTCATTTGTTAGCAACTTCATGAAATACAATAAAATTACAAACCACAATACGAACATAAACAGACTGATTCACTAAGCGTGTTCACCTCATTTTTTTTTTTTTTTTTGGTTAAATAATTGCATATATCCAAATTCTGAATTTTGGAATGTTCAAGTGTAGTTAAAGCCGATATTGCCGAATACTTAGATTTTTCAAAGCATTTAAAGAGTACCCTGTGGTGATACCAACTTTAGTTTTACAAATGAAAACATGTATTAAAAATGCCGTAAATAGATGGAGTATTACTTTAAATAAGTGCTGGTGTTAAAAGTTTTGATTTTCGTCAACTTTGATTTGACTAGATATTCCACTTTTAAGTTTGGATCGGCGGAGAGTAATGGTGCATTATTATTACGTCACGCTCCGTACCGCCACACAAATGATACTCCAATACACCAATACTCGTCCCTTAACTAAACTTAAAAGTGAAATATATCGTTAACGGATTGACGAAAATCAATAATTTTAACACCAACATTTATTTAATATTATACTCCGTCGTCTATGTATGTAATTTTTAATATAGATTCTCAATTGAAAAATCATAGTCGGTATCACCACTGGATGACTACTTAAATGTTGTGAAAAATCTAAGTATTTAAAAATATCGGCTTTAACTATACTTACACATCCCAAAAATCATTATTTGAATATATGCAAAAATTTAACCAAAAAATTGGGGCGAGTGCGCTTAGTGAATCATCCTGTATACAACAGCTATAAAGTCAAATTAAATAAAAAAGTAATTATGGAAATGAGATATTAGTTATCTGCTCTCTCTCTCTCTCTCTCTCTCTCTCTCTCTCATTTTAAGTTTTACGTAGACGTTAATTATATCGCTTGTCTTTCAGTGACCACATAATGCCCTTTACAATTCCAAAGTTTCACTTTGTTAACTTACTCACTTTATTTATAATATAGATGTGCCACCGGGTCAACAATTATTTACTATTCCAATTGTAGTACAGGCCATACGATTTACATGGAGACCTTTTGATGGTACGTTACTAAGTACTCGTATCGTCATCGTTAATAAAATATTTCAAACGCGTCTGACTAATGCGATCAATTGCAAATACCCCGTCAGCCTATTACGGGTAACCTAATAGTTGCATGAAATATTGATCAAAACGCATTAAAAGCCGTGTAAATTAATTAATGCACTACCACAATGCAATCAGTTAATACCCTATCGGATTTCTTTTTTACGCGAGAACAACGCGGTGTTAATAAAAATGAAAAACGATAATCAACAATATACAAACCTCAATAATTTTAAAGAAAACGCACACGGTCCGCTCGATAAACCGAAAGTAATAAAGTGTGAGCCGGGTTGAAGCGCTCTACAATTCGAATATTATGGCCAAAACATCTATAATTCGGATTTATAATCATTACTCGTACTCGTATTCGTGATTTTTAAGGCCATCAGTACTTTAGATAATATACTATCTATGGACCAGATTTTGGTTAAAAATATATTGTAAAAGAACATAAACTATAATTTTTTTTTTTTTTTATAATATATAACATTATACATCTACAATAAATAATAAATATAAAGTAAATTAAATAATAAACATGCAATGAATCATTTCTATTTTTTTCCAATCGAAGACCTCTATAAATCAAACTTTCAACTCGATCCCCTGAATTTCGAATTATCAAGAGTCTACTGTAAATAAAAACGCTTTTCAATGTAATATATGTGCATACTAGATATAATATAATAATATGTATATTTGATGTATTTATGAGCCCAGGGGGTCTATTTTCGAACTAAATCTAAGCCGAGTGTATCCGAATATCAGATCACTAATCGCATTCGACCAGATCCCAAAAAAAAAAAAACACCCCAGGCCGTACAAATATCCTTCCATGCGATAAGCTCAGACGACTCGACTGCGGTAAGTTTCATTGTTTTCGACTGGAAATAAAATAATAGTAAAAAATTATGTAAATATATACGAATATTTGTTTCAAAGGAAACGAAACGATATGACGCTTGGATTAAATAACATTGCGCAATCCGTTTTCAATGAAACCTTTGTCAAAGAAACAAACAAAATTCTATATTTTATAGTATAGGTTAGTAGCTATACAATGCTGTAAAGTAGAAATAAGAAAGAAGTAATAAAATACATTTTTCAGTTTCTCGTTTAACAGTAATCGTAAAAGTCAATATTTTAACTTAATGTCGGATATAAAAAAAAAAAAAAATAAAAAAATATGGATTCAAAGCACCTACAAAATCGTCTTAAAGCGAGGATGGAAGAGCGGCATTAATAATAATCACTTTTAAGTCCTGCAATAATATGCAATCGTGATTCCCCAAGTCAGAATTGCGTACACGAAACAAACAAAAATGTTATTTTCTAAGCACTAATAATAACTAGATAATAATAGTACTGATTATTAATTTTATTATTATAATATCATTTTTCTTATTCCTTTTTTTTTTTTTCTCAATTCCATTATGAATTTGAGATTATTTAACACTACTCGGAATAATATGTTTAGTCATCAAAAAACCGAAATCAAAAACGCCCGAAAAACGTTATTACGATAACACATTCACCGTACACTGGGTATTAGAGTAAGGCATCAAGGTGGTGGAGGTCCGTTTTGTATCGTTCGTTATCCTCGTCGTCGATCGTCTGATGAAATGGTTTGTCGCCGCGTTTCGTCGGATCATCGGCACCGCAGAAAGCGTGTAAAGCACCGGATTTACCGCAGCGTTTAGGGGCAACACGAAAACCGCTACCCAAGCGAATACCTATGGAAAAAAAAAAAATACCACCAAGTGTTGTAAAATCAATAAATAATATCGGAGATTTATTGACTAGACAAGGCGTACTGTCTAAAAGTAAAACTCAAGGGGTCAAAATCATTACACACTTTTAAATTATATAGGAAAACCGTCAAGATTTATACAAATATAAACTCCAGGCAGGGGCGGATTGGGCCATCGGGCGATCGGGAAATTCCCGATGGGCTGTTTACTAACGAATTTGAATGCACTGATGGATTACGGTTCCAATTTTTTCTGTTTTAATAAAAAAAAATTTGGCTTCAGCAACAACTATTGGTTTTAAAATGGTGTTTATTCCTTTTTTTTTGTACTGATAAGAACAAAAACTACTTCACACTAAACATAACGCGTAACGTGATTAGGTTATTCCCTAGATAACATTGGTTTTCGCACGGATTTGTAGAATTTAAAACGGCTGTTACTTAGAAATTATTCATCGGATAACATTTGTGATACATTAGAATTTTCAAGAAAATAAACTTTACAGAATAGCCTCATCTTAAAATATATAATGTAATCCTCATCTGTGTGAGTAATATAAAAAAAAAAAAAAAACAGAATTTAATATTTTGATTGTCTTTATTATCTCCAGAGATACTCAAGGAGTATATTATATATAAGGGGTATACTTGCGGGTCACCCCCACGCTCCCTCCCAAATATGGGCTGCTACATATTAATTTTCCCGGGCAGGTCTAAAGTTCAAATCCGTCCCTAACCCCAGGGACAATCAAACGGGGAGGAAATGAGAACAAATATCCCCACTCATGACCCTTTTCCTTTCAATAGGTATAATATATTTATACAAATACGTATTATATCATATACCTATTTATAAAAAATAATAATTTTAACGATAATAATTGTTTTTCAAAAAAAAAAAAAAAAAAACAGACTCATCCCTTCCCCTCCCTAGGACCTTTACATACGTGCCCGAAAACATTTTACCAACTTAAATAAAACAAAAAGATCACAAACATTGTTCTAAAATAGAGAGCCAAAATATTTTGAAAACAATATGGGCGTACTACGTCTAGAATAATATAATACTATTAATTATATTATTTTTTTTTATCTCATCGGTTGTTTATGTTTTTGTTTTTGTTTTTGTTTTTTTTTTTTTTTTTTATTTAACGGTGACGGAAACTTTTTAAATATTTATATATTCCGGCGAGTGCTGTACATTATATTCTGGAAAACGCAATGTAGATACCGCGCATATCATATATTAATATTATCATCGGACCGGTGTAGTTTATGATTTATGAACGTTTAAACCGTATAAACTATAAAGTGATGCTGCGAGTATACGGTGTATCTGCGCATCTGCATTCTACATCTACAGAGAGACACACTATCCGCGGTTGGTCCACAGAACCGCTGTAAACGCTTGTAAATCGGTAAACCGTGCGTTCGGTATGCGTGACATCGGTATGCGCCGAAATGCCCAAAATATAACACACTTGCGCATCGATGTGCGCGAATTTAACACGCCATGCCGGTGACCAGGGACCGGTATCATAGATTTCTTACTTTCGGGTCCATGGTCGGAAACAAATCTGGGATGCCGAGCGGGTTCGAAATTTGTTTAATTTACTGTACATGTATAACATGCGCACGTGTGTCGCATCCTCCACTTGATTGAATTGCCGTTGCGTTACGATTGCTTTTCGATACCGGAAGCGGCAGCACGAAACGTTTCGTAGACAGCCCGGACATGTCGCGCTAATGTAATATTGTTTTTCGATTCGAGTTTTTTTTTTTTTTTTTTTTTTTTTTCATTTCAACACCGCTTACTTTGCAATTTGTTCGCAGTTTACTTTTCTCGAAATAAATTTAAATTGAAAACGTAATAGGTTACATAATATAACTAATGATTATTTTTATTCACATTTAAAGTCACATAATCGATTGCCGCAGAATTTTTATCGTGCAAGTACTTTTACGGGACCGACGAGAAAAAGCGCATTTCCCCCATCGTATTCATTAAATTTTTACTCAACAAAAACATTTTACAAACCAATTATTTTATGTCATTTTTATAAATTGTGAAAATCAATAAACCTTGTTTGTCGCTATTATTGTTTTTAAATACGAAACGACGCGGGATCTATTGTTGGTTTTTTTTTTTTTATTTTGTTTTATTATTATTTTTACCCATCCTGAATCGAGTACAGAAATATCGTCAAATTTAAAAGTATTTTAAAAACGTAAAACTTTTGAAACTATAATAAATTAAACGTCCAAAAGTGTCCGGGGTATAAAAGTTGTATTTGTATACCTAGGGTCCTGTACATATATACGCACTATAAAATAAAAAGTAGACTGTTATTTTGTTATTATATTTTACGTTACGAAAAATTATCGTTATTTTGTTAATCGGAAATCTGTTTAAACGACAAAATCAATTCGGTTTGTGTCGTACCCGGATTTTTTAGATGAAAACGTTCGGCGTCGGAGGCGACTGTGGTCACACATTTTCGTTTATGTAACGCGCGGCTTATTTGAATACATATTGTAAAAATATTTATGATATGATAATTTTTTTTTTTTTTTTTTAAAACAGCTGGAACGCAATACCGCAAAGAAAATTAATGGTGGGTGTGCGTCGTATACATCAGTAGTGGGTACCACGTTAAAATATGTATTCTACTATTGCAAGCGGTTTTATCGGAGGGAGGGGGACAGTTCACGTGGCCCGCGTATGTGTTTGCATTTAATGTTTCGCGAGCAGTAGGCAGTGCTCCGTTACCAGAGTCAAATTTTCTCCCGACTTATTTATTTTATATTATTCGTAAACGATATACAACACCTAACCGAACACCGCGCTCGTACAATACCACACACTGTATAGTATATACTAGTACCTATAAATATACTACTTCGAAAAAAATTTAAATGCTAAAATTTGAACATCGCCGCTTTAAGGGCGAGGGTTGAAAGTTGAAATCTCCAAAATGCGTATCGTTTATACTAACATAACAATTCTAGATGCGCCACTGAGTGTGCGCCTGTCACGAATGCCGAACCCTGTTATCCGCGGCTTACAAACATTACATTAATCGATATTATTTTGGCGAGCCGAATGTGACTATTTGAAAAGCAGTATTGTACATCTCACTAACCGTACACCCTGCCTCTCCCTCCGCTCCAAACGATACCCCCGATCCCTGGACCGTATTAAAAGAGTCGCTCTGTATAGTGTATACGAGGGCTAATCAAAAAGTGTCAAGACTGGTGGTATCATTCGGAAAAGGAGCATCGAAGAGCAGTAGGGTTGGTACCACTTGCTTCTATGACTTTTACTGAGTACATTTGTTTTTATTGCTTCTCTATAAAATTCTTCGGTTTGATTTCACTGACATTTTTGTAAAATATATTTTTTCGAGTTTGGCGATTTTGTAATAAACCCAAAAGAAGAGTAACTTGACCGATTTGGAGATTTTAAAAAATTTGTCTGCATTTTTTTTCCAGTGTCGGAGGGATGCCACGTTTCGCGGTTTTTGCCATTAAATGTCAATTGAAAAACTGAAAATGTGCCCTCGAGTGGCAGCGAGTTCCGCTCCTTTTGGGTTCATTGCGAAAATCGCCAAACGTGAAAAACAAATTTCAGAAAAATATCGTCAAATCAAAACGAAGAAGTTTATAGGGACTCTATACGAACAGATGTGCTCAGTGTAAGCCATAGAAGGTCGGGTTTACAAATCGTTTTGCTCTTCGACGCTCGGTTTCCGAGTAACATTATCAGTCTCGATACTTTTTGATTAGCCCTCGTACACTATGCAAATATCAGCATCGCGCGCGTAACACCCATACGGTACACGCAATCCGCAATATTTACGTAAACGCCTATGGATAATTACCGAATGACAACGGGAAATCGCGGCTCGTTCGCCAAACGTTAAATACGCGGTGACATTCAATATATTATATTTTACATAACGGCGTGCGCGTGTGCCCACACCGCGAAACCAATTAATTTCGACAACGCGGGTCGATGACGACGAATACGGCGACGTAAACAGCGTGCGCGCAATCTAATCCAAACTCCGGGGATCGTCTGCAGTGTTTTAATCGAACATTATAAACATTTAAACGGATAACATTGTTGTTGTCATCATTGTTTCGCCGGCGTATAGCTGTTTTATCCCGGGGGCAGTTGTACGTTTAATATTGCGTTAAACTGTCTTACTTGGGGAGGAACTTCAAATCCGGCCAAAGACAACAGTCCCAGCCCTATGATGGGCACCCAGCACGCCGCATCCGTGGCCACCAGAAGGCTCATCCGCCAGGCCATGGCGGTTTCTTTGTGCGACCGCTGTGTGGTGACGCGGGTGGCCGAACTCAGGGTTTCCGTGGCGCGATGTGTCATTTTGGCCGCGAAGAACATCCACAAGTAGCCACCGGATATCAACAGCAGCGAACCCAAATTGACGACTGAAAAACGCAATATTCACAACGGTAGAGACCGTGAATGAAAAGATATTATTAAAAGGTATCACAATGTTGTAAATCCAGTGCTCGAATTGGTAGGGGCCTCATCACTATTTCATGCTTCATAAATATTCGACCGTATACAACCTCTTTCAATTAACAAAGGAATGCTATTTCGCTGAAAGCGTATAGATTTTATTATACAGCCCAACCATTATCATCGTTATTGAATCCGGAATTAAAATTCGGTTTTTTGAAGTTATTTATTTAATTTACTTCTTGTGCAGGGAGTTCCCCGCGGGTCACTGTAGCATACATCTGGTATACAACAACGGTTTATAAACTATAAAATCACCGTCCGTCCTCGTTTTTCCCTAATTCGAACACTGGGTTCAGTGGCGTGCGCAGGAGGCCTGCTAGAAATATATGCCACTCTATAGACGTAAAAACACAACAATTAGATCTATGAATGTTTGTATAAAAAAATGTATTTAAATTGCGCATTTTAAAGCCAAACTACACGGAGAAAAGCTTGATTTACATTGGATACAAACTGGCTTTTTTGGATTTTTAATAATTCTGATTGTCGGGTTTAGATATAACAGAAGAAAATAATCGTAGGTTTATTCATAAATCATGGTTATTATATACTACATTCCCCCCCCCCTCCATCGAAAATTTCAGAGCACGCCACTGACTGAGTTAACCGAGGATAAAAAAAATACAGAAGGAAGTATAATTTATAAGTACATAGAAATATGAAAACGGAATACTCCCAACCGGCTGGTTTGTCCTTCGTAATGTGTAATGCTAAACACACACCGGACCGTCCGTAAAAATGGCTGAAAAATAAAAACACGTTTATTAAAATATAATATTACTATAGTTGACGTCATCGATAAAAATAATAACATTTTGAGATTCGAAATGTGTGTACCCATATTCATAATATCGTTATATTATTAAGCATAAAACGTTCTATAGTGAAAATAATTGAAAAAAAAAACCACAATCCCAATAATTTAGAAAAGTCACGGTTTTTTTTTTTTTTAATTGTAAATAAAGTTCACTTTTATTAATGTATTTAGTAAATTAAAAATAAATACTGTGTGTCAAATCCTATGTATAAATGATGATTAGGTCGTCGTTTTTAATTATCATAATGATTAAATTCTAAAACCGTGCACTTTACAAACGGCGCTGCATTTTTCTGTTTCGCGTAAACACGATGTTTTTTAGTAAAGAGCAATAATTACGCGATCGCCTACACTGCGATAATTACTCGTGCGATTATAATAGAACGCGAGACTATAGCTTTTAAATAATTAGATGAATTGAAAATAACAAGCGCCCGGGGATAAAAAAAAAAAAACGACTGCTGCAGTAATATACGAATAAGTTCTGTAAATAATAACTGCAATAACGTTCAAAACGTTTTATTTTTACTGCCGACCTATCAAAACGATTTCGAAGAAAGGAAAAAAATACCCTACAAATGGCTTAAAGTATTAAAAAAAATATATGACGTTTGTATTTGTCGTTCTCGTAAACGATAACCGTCACTCGAGTCGTTCGGTCACTCGAATCGTTCGGTCACGCGATATCCTCGTATATTTTTATACGAGGCGAGGAATGAAAATAATATGATAAAAACAAACCAGACAAACATCGGACGTAGGCCACAGCCAGCCTAATGTTGTATGAGGTGAGAAGCTGGAAAGACATGGAAATTTAGGTTGCAAATAGTAGTTTAAAAACAACCCATTGTTTATAATAAAAACAACGATAAATAATTTCAATAAAAAAAATGACCCTGGGTGAAAATCCTTTTTCGTCGGAAATCAAAAGAACAACAAAACTGATGTATCGTTATTTGTATTCTCGGTTGATTAATCGTTTAGAAAAACTGTTTGAGAATTTAAAAAAAAAAAAAAAAAATGTCAAATAATCTACGTACGAATCATCCCGAAGTGCGAGAAATCCGCGTCTTTATGGTATACGGTACCAACTATTTGGATCGTTTTCACTAACCGAAACAATTTTGTTTGGCTGGGGAAAAAAACGCACACAACTATAATAATAATTACCGTCATAGTTTCTTCGGGTTACATTTTAAATCTCAAAACGATCACGTGTCGCGACATCTCTCTATATGTAATAAAATGTAAGCAAACGGGAAAAACGAACGCGATAATAATTACTTGAAATAGGGAATGTCGAGCAGAGGAATAACCGAAATGATAGTAGCTAGCAGCCAGCAAGCAGCCATTAGTACGCGGGTGAAATCCATTTCCAACCGCTGGAGTTTGAACGGGAATATGATTACCAACAACCTCTCGAGCGTGATCACTATAACAAAAAAATAAATTCGTTATTTTTTTTTTTTTATCATTATTATTATTATTATTTTATCGGCATAACTTAACATAATAATAATCCGAGGTATATAAGTTTGTGCATAATATTTGTCTATACCGCAGGAGCTCTCGAATATAATAATCAATCATTTTATATAGGTAGTCTTTGTCCGAGAGATTATCTTGGATACGGTTCCACCCCGCTACTCTTTTATAGCTAGTTTATTCATCTTCTCAAATAGGTCCCGTCCATACCCCCTTATACAAACCGTATTTCTTCTATTGTCCATTTTCCGATATTATTATAATAATATCATATACTTGTATTTTTTTATTTTTTTTTCCCCCCGCGGATTTGAAATAAAATCAAGAATATACCTAAACATACTCGTGCGCGCAAAATATATAAGCCCGAAGTCAAGACGTCTACCCACATTATACAGTCGTACATCATCCCTGAACCATAATCATAATATTATTACACAAACAAAATACCGAATAAACTGAAATTTTGAAATATTTTAAAATTTACAAACACCTAATATGCAAATCTGAGCATTTTAGATTCTGAGCGTATTACGGCTATTAAATGTACGATTTTTTTTGATTTTTTTTTTTCCGTCTGTGAACAACTTTTCTACCGAAAATCTTCCATCAAAAAACGACAACGACCTTTTTTTTAGCATTTTGGATCAAGTTGGTGCATTGGAGAGGTCATTCCTTAATTTAGCGCATGTAGGTTTTTTTTATAATAATGGGAAAAATAAACACCGGAAGTACTTCGCATGTGGGTGGGCCACTGTTGTAGGTGAGAAGTTGAGAAAGAAGAGGGGAAATTTAATATATATCTATACCCAACGAAAAACGATTCTGAGTGGAGTCCTGTTAATAGTGTTGCTTTGTCAACAATATATTGGCCACACTATGAAAAATAATTACATAATATACGTTATATAGGTATTTTCATTAATAATATTTGTTTAATATTGTATCTATTTTCCTGTTTTTTCTATGTTTTTTCCGGTTTTCCGATGTTTTTTCCCATTAATTGAGTAAACTCCTGGGAAAATAAAAAAATATCATGCCTAAAGTTCCTCTCGAATCAGATTTCCTTTCAGAACAAGTGCTATAATTGTAAATCGGAGCAAAATTTCTGGTAGAAAAGTTTTCCATAGAAATATTTGAAAATTGTATTTAAAGTTCATCGTAATTTTCTTAGTAGTCAAAAAAAAAGTTTAAAAGTTCAAATTTTTACGAAAATCATAAATATATCACGTGTTGTATTTGACGTAATATTTTTCAATTATGAGAAAATAATTTTTCGGCCAAGTCGAAATATTCGAAAATTTAACACAATTCTCATCAAAGGCCTTAACTGTAGTAAGTTTTTTTTTCCTTAAACAAAAAAACTCATTTATTCAAACTGAGTAAATAAGTTTTTCATTGCACAAGATGTGTCTACGTCGTGCATATTATAAAAGAAAATCTTATATAGGTAGCTACGCAAGGTTATATTTTCATTAAAAATGAATACACCAGTAAAACGAGCGTCTATAGAAACAAGAAGCAAATTATAAAAGGCTAATATAGGCAATTGTTTGTAATAAAATAGTAATATTGTTCTTATCGTTGCATAATTTATTATCGTGTGTAACAAAAAATCGTGGAAAAAAAATAAAAGATTAAAGTAAAATAAAATACTAAAATACTAAACAACAGACTAGTAAATACTCGCTAACATTTTGCATTTACAGTTTTGTCAGTTGTAGGAATGTATTGGTTTTAACTTTTTTTTTCTGTTCTGTACCAGAAAACTTGCTCCAATCGGAGGGACCTTTTTTTATTGCATTTTGGATACGGTTGGTGAGTAAGGAAGTCTTTTTATCGATTTTCCAAGCAGTTTTCATAATAATTGGGATAAGCTGAAAAATACGTAATATTACGACGAAAAACGTAATGATTTCATTCATTTTACATTTCTATAATTTACGTTTTATACTAGAAACCATGCTTCGAATTTTATCAAAAATATCTTATCTAAAAGAAAATGTTTAGTTTGTAAACGATGAAATTTTACAATACATTCCAATAATGTTACTGAGTAAATAATTCAACAAAACATTAATATAGACAGTGCCTGCGCCTAGTGTTATATCATAAATTCATAACAACAAATCATGATTTGACACGTTTGATAAATAATAATGGTTATTGGTTAATACATTTTAATATTTTTTTATTATAAATGAACTTCCAAATTATATAATGACGTAAACACGACTTAGACCTTAGTAATTTGTAATATTATATTTATGATTTATGTAGAGTAGGTTGTAAAATTTTTACGATTTTTTTGCTGTGCACAATAATAAATTATGTAATGTTAAGAATAATATCATTATTTTATGATAAGAAATTGCCTATATTATCCCGTTATGGTTTGCTCCTTGTGCTGTATCCACATCACAGTAACTGCCTACCTAACGACCGGTAAATGAAAAAAAAACCGTTTTTCAAAAATACAAAACACAATTCAATACAATCTAATTATGCTCGTATACTTACATTCATTATCGCGGTACGGATGTAATTCGTAACATTATTACAATAAATAGATGTACAGGTACCACCGCCAACGTTTAAAATGTTCAACATTTATATAGATAATTTTTTACAAAATTAACAAAAAAAAATTTTTTTTTTTTTTAATGCTATTCATAAGTATATAATTATGCCGATTATAATGGAAAATCACGAGCGTTTAAAATTTGTAGATTACATGTTGCTCGGACATTACTCAATAATTTTGTTATTATACCTATTGGTATAATAATATTATCACATATTTATTTATACTGGTAAACGTTTTCAGTTCTATCTATACATATTTTTTTTTTTACCTATAGTTTCGTTTTATATACGTGACACAGGTAAAAATATATCAACATTTTTTTCGCTGAAAGGCATTTGAAAAATTAACTTTCTACAAAATTATTAAAATACGAAACTGCAGACTTTGTAAAAGCGCGTTTTACATACATTTTTAAATGAAAAAAAAAAAAAACTTTTAGCGACGGCAGTGCGTCAGAAAAATCCGATTAACAAAATAAACTCCTATATGTTTGTTATTAGATTAAAATAAAATCAAAAAAGATAATGAAAATTAGGCGAGTACTTATGTGCTATTAAAAATAATGAAATTATTTTTTTTGTTCATGTAATATTATATTACACCATTTTTTATTTTATATACTAAACAATATATTATATATATATATATAATTTTTTAATTGAATTCTATTCGACAAAATCACTGTTCTAGATATTTTAAATATAAAATGTATGTATGTTTTTACTGAACTCAATATAAAATAGCTGATACTGTTAATGGGTACTTTCGTATATAGGTCAAAAGTTAAGAATAAGTTAAGATACATAGCTTAATTTAATTTTTATCTGTATGCAATAATAAACGAGAAACAATTCTGAGCGAAGTTTGATTAAATATTATGATTTGGAATGGCGTGTGTTTCCTTGTGTTTCCCCGAGATTCCCTGATTTCCGCCCTTGTCCCTACCACATTTAACCGTTGTTGTGCTCAGTAATTAATTTTTTTTAAATACGTACAAACTTTCTTGTTTATGCCGACCAAATTAACTAATTTGAACTCAACTGTAAACTTTACTGTTTTTTTTTTCCGTGGAACCTATAAATCATCAAAACAAAAATGTTTGACGCCCTTTCGTGGTTGAATTTTGGAAATCCAACTTTAAGGTACATACAGACTTGTTAATTCGCATCTGTATGTACATTTTCAGGCTTCTGCGTGCGATAAATTAGGCTAACAATCGGTCATATACTACACTTCCTACGAACACAATACAGTGTAATAGTCTTTATTTTAGAAGATAGTTCGACAAAATAAAAGTCTAATGTTGGTGAGTGTTACCGTGTTTTAGGTAGAAAGTCGGAGGAAGGAAATAATATCTGTACGCGATGAAATACCTATGCTTACGAAAAATGACTCTGATATAGTCGTATTTTATCCTTGTTGTCAAAATAACCCAGAAATCAACAATCAACAATCCAAAACATAATCAGGTTTTCTCATTAATTGAGAAAATCACAAGTATAATTCAAAAAAATCACTAAATCAAAAATTCCACAAGAATATGTCGTACAAACTCTTTGATTCAAACAAGATTTCTGTTAGAAAAACTGTTTACAAACACAAAAAAACGCATCATAGTAAACCAATACATTAATACATTTTTCGCTGCGCTCAGAATTTCTATCATTACCAGTTCAGAATTACCGCGGACGACCGACACCCAGAGAAAAACATCAATAATATTTAATATATTCGACGAAAACGCAACGAGTTCTCGTGCTTTTCTGGAGTGAATGAAAAAAAAAAGTGACGAAAAACCAAACGGAATCATGCGGGGGAAAAAAGACGAGGAATGCGAAAATATCGTATACGAGTGCGGCGAACCGCGGGGCGTTCAGATTATTACGCGGAGCCGGAAAAAACAGCAAATAAACATATCGGCTACCAAATTGCACAAAACACCGGATCCGTGAATATATAACGAATTCCATTTGCAGACGAGTCGAAATATAATACTATACCTACTAAGTACCTACACTAGAACACATCGCTATTCAGCCAGGTAATACGAGTCGGTGACGACGGCCATTCTGTATTTTCTTTCTACAGTTTTATTTTCCTCCGTTTATTTTTAAATTACGTTATGACGAGAGGAAAAACGGTAATATGCGTCCGAAACCGCCGGTTAACTGTCGTCGGTTTTTTTCTTATTCTGAACGTAGCGGTGATGATAGGTCGATAAGTGTATTAATTTTAGCACTGCAGTAAATGTGTGCTTTTTTTCTTTTATTATTTTTTCCTCTGTCTGTTGAAAACTTGTCTTCCGGAAATCTTGCTCCGATCGTTAACTTTGTAGGAACTTCATTTAAGATCTATAGTCAGTACATCTGGAAAGGTGTTGTTTATTTTCCGAATAGTTTTCTCAATAATGGAGAAAAAAATGTCTGAAAACTGAAATATTTAAACAATAACGGTTTTTTTGATTTTTTTAAAATTAATATTAAAACCAATCGTAAAGACCTGAAATCTTCACCGAATACTTGCAATGGTAATTTCTATAGACACGATCCAATTTTCAAAACATTCTGGCGTTTGTTGAATTTTTTTATGCGATTGTCATACATTACATTATAATTTACTTTTTCGAAAGTATACTTTTTTTCAAAATGTTAACAATTTCGTATAATATATTCTCGTTCGCAATATGGTACCTACGAAAATACTATACTCCGGCTTACAATGGTCTTGGTATATATTATAAAGTATAATAAATTACAGTGACTTTTTTTCGGTTCCAGTCCGTCCCACGATAAAATGTTTTATATGTATTATAAATATAACCTATGACATTTTTGGTAAAACGTCCGTATTTATTATACCTAACCTTTTTTCGAAATATGTATATTATTTTATTGTCTAATTGTACGCGAAATAATGCAGTTACTAATAAAAATCTTATTTCGCACAGAGACGTGATTGTAATAATAATAACACGTTAACGCCGCGTTTGACCGAAAAAAAAAAAAAAAAAAAAAATTGCGCGTATATAATATATTCGCTAAATCATCAATCAATCCGCTGCAACAACAATACGCTGACTATACTGGTTTTTAACATTTTCGAGACTGCCTTTGATGCCGGACACCATTACCCCTCCCGTCTCACGAACCTTAACACGCGGCTATTGTGTGTGAAAATAAAACCCGGTAGGTGTAGTGCAGCCTGTCCACTGTGTATACACATGTGTGTACACACAACATATGTGTGTAAAACGCAGCCTACCAGTCGTCTATATATATATATATATATATAACTATCCAATTAGTATAAAAGGACCTGCCACCCGGAACAGAACACAGTATACTGGGCAACTCGCACCGAGACGTCGGTGAAATTAATAGTAAATTTAGTAGGTTAGGTACACTGTATAGTAGAGACAGCTAGAGAATAATAAATGCAGACGACAACGACGAAGGTCCACTGATTTCTTGTTGAATAAAATCCGAGACATTTAAAAATTTGATCGACTGCTAGGCGAACGACCACTGCATAACAACTAGAACTTGTACACGCCCCCGTAGCTATATAAACAGCGTGATCAACATAACGCAAGACACGGGATATGTATTGACTTTTTTTAGAAAATTTGAGAAACAATATCGTTATATTTCCGTCACTTTTATTTTCAAACAGCCTATAGTTAAAATTCCATAAATAAATACAATTTTAGCATAAATACATTTCGATGTTGAAATTGATTATTTCCATCCACTCGTCAAGATATTCCACTTATAAATTTGAGTGGAAGAAACGTAATAGGGAGAACATCATTAGTGTCGTCAAAAAGTGGGCACGTAATAGCCACACCCAAAAATAAGTCCCAAAACACAAAACAAATAATAGACAATAAACAATGAACATTTTAGAACTGCTTGTTTCTTAAATTTTCTGTAAAAAAAGTTAATACACAAACTTTTTTAAATAATGAGTATCCTACTTTATGTTAATCACCCTGTATACTTAAATTATTATATCGTCCTAAAAAGTTCGGGAACAAGGCACACCAATAATAATATTATTATAATTTTGCCTACAGCAATTATATTATCATCTTGGTAGCTGGACCGCTACAATGAAATTCGTTATTTCGAAATACCAACGTCGCATCGTCGGTCTAATTTGTAATAGCTCCAACTCCAAAAACATTATTTTGTGTTTATGATATTTCCGATTAAAATAAAATATGTTAACGGTTGGTTTGAAAATATATTGGCTATAAAATAACAATTTATTCTTCCACGAAAGTTTTAATAAAAATACAACGAAATTGTCGCAACTCCCAACTGGTAATATTATTAAAGAAAAAAATCCTTATCACTCCATCGTATAGATCGATTTCATCATTTTAAATTCATACACATTGCTTTTTACCAAAACTCTTGCTTCAATTATACAAATTCCAAGAGACCAATTTTGTTGAATTTTTGATTTAGTAACTGAGAAAGCTAATCATTTTTTTAATTTTCTAAACCGTTTTCACAATAATTGGGAAAACCTAAAAATGCGATAAAATAAAAACGGACAAAATATATATGGCGTTAATATTTCTTTATTTTAAACCTTTACCGATTATGTTTTTAGTTTACAGTTTGTAATCTTGTATAAACGAACTTTACTCAGAATCGTTTTTCGTTAGCAATGGTTTATTTTTGCTTACGTATATAAATTCAATAACTTTATGTATCATACCTTCTCAACTTACCACCTATATTAGTGGTGTACCCATTAGCAATATTAGCTCTTTTTCTAATCGGATTTTATATCAGAGGGTCACATAAATAAAGAAAAAATGTATTTTTTATTTTCATCTCGTAACCGTTAAACAAAACTATTATTTTTGATTTTTGAATAGCACCCCACGTTAAAAAATCCACAAATAGATGACGTTTTAGTTAAAATATAGTTTGATATTGAAACTTTGAATTTCCATCTGCGTCGTGTATGGTGTATCAAACTCAAATATATGTATGTGCACTACGAAAAGTCTAAAACAATAGCCATTGCTATTCGAATATCGAATAAACAGTTTAAATCTATAAAAATGTATACCGGAGTTGCAAGAAATGGTAATCCATTTGTATATGATAGTTATTGATACAATGATAACCACTACCTACTCTTCTAGTCTAAATTTTAAACTGTTATAAATGCGTAACTCATAAATGAGTTAAATCCAATAATAGTTTTATACTTATCAAAATGTTTAGAGAGTCATTCCTTTTTCGAAACTGATTGAAACAGGAGCGAGGTTGACGATTTAAAATCAAAATCTGATGTACAATATTTATGGTGAGTGGAATAAGAGTTACGTTTTGAAAATAAATTCTCTTAACTAAAACGATTCTATTATAATTGAAAAAACTAAATCCATTAAAGTCTTCAATCAGATAATCACAGAAAATCCGGAAATGAAAAATAAGTAAATAAAAATAACGCACAATTCAAACGCTACGAACTCACGTGTAGAAATTGTAATTTTAAAATTCGTCTTTGAGATATAAGTTTACTTTCTTAATGCGAGTGATGTGAAACTTTTCTCGGAGTTATTTCTTTTTACCTAAGAAAAAAATATTTTACGAGAAAATCGATTGGATAAACACTTTTACACTTTTTATTTGACAAACGTTGTGTTAGTGTTTTCGGAAAACAAAGAAAAACCTTGTGTTAGTTGATTAAAAAGAAAATAAATGGTATTGACCGCAACTCAAGGACCGTTATCTCCGGGCTGCAATCCGTCCCCGGACACGGACGGCAATACGAAACGCGCGAACATTTCCGTTGCTTTTGTAATACTCAGTGAACTTTATGGTAACACACTGAAAACGAATAATATATAGTAAGTTGATTTTGCATCCCCTAAACTCCTAACGTCCAAAGGCATAGGTGCGAATCGGGGATGGGGGGGGGGCTTGGGGAATCTTAGCCCCGCCCCCGAACTTAGCGTAGTCCTGAAATTAAAGGTATATAATCGACGAAAAACGTGGTCACAAAAAAAAAAAAAAAAAAAAAAAAATAGAAACCAACACTGTTATTATTATTTATTCGGATCGCCGTCACCTACCGGTCAACGTGAACACAGACAGCTCGCTGGAAAACGTGCTTAAGAAACCGGCCACGTTGCACATGGTGCTGTTGCGCCAATCCGCGTCGTGGATGATGTACACGCCCCGGTAGTACCAGTCGACCACGGCGATGATCAGCAGGTACGAGCCCATCAGAACGTCGCTCAGCGCCAGGTTGACGATGAGGAACGAGTGCACCTGGTTGTTGTGCTGGTACTTGGCCCGGTACACGATCACCATCAGGTTGGCTGAGATGGCCACCACGGCCAGTATCCATATGCACACGCGCAACACGATATTGGACATGAGGTCTTCGCACGAGCTGAACTCGTCTGGCAGCGGCGTGCACTGGGTCACGAACGGGGCCAGACAGCAGAACCTGAACGCGGTCGTGGCCCTGCAATGCAGCGTACACAGCACAACAGTTTAGCCCGGTCAAATTAGGATTTCGACTCGGGAAAATTAGGTACCGTACAGTTAACGTCTGGTATACCTGTACGTATACGCGTTTATAACGCCGTTATAAATAATCTGCGAAAAGTCCCAATCGAGACCGTGTACGTTTCAAACGTTATTCGAGGTCAAAAGACACGAAAACGAAAGCTTCGGGTTTGTCGTATGGTAAAAAATGCAAAACTTGAATTTAAGTTGAGATAATTGAAACGAATCTTAATTGTGTAAAATATCGAACTATACGGTTTATATCGAGTCGCATACATCTTCGACAACGCTTCTATTTTTACGTATACATTTTAACCGAGTTACTTACTTTCGTGCGTCTGTATGGGTATTTAAAACCCGAAATTTTACGTGAAAACATAAAATCTGAGCATAACATTGGTTGGGGAGGGGGTCGAAAGTTAAAACAATCAAAAAGAATATCCTTGATATTTACACCGTGCATATTCAGCATTTGGAGAGTCTGCATGGGTGTGCGAAGTTAAAAAACACCCTCCTTCCGCATTTGAAACTAAGTTCATATTGAAACTAAACCAACATTGTATTGTTCTAATTCACCTATTAAAAAAAAAAAAACCTCAAATTTCCGAGTTTGAATTATTTTTGTCCCGAGGCAGCCGCTAAGAGTGTTCGAGTGTATCAGGAAAAAGATGTAAACATAAACGAGTATAACATGCATAATAGTTACAGTGTAATGGCCTCTATACTCGAGGAAAATTCGATAAAAACAATATTATCTAGGATTCGGCGAACTCGAAATATTGATTTTCGATTTAATTTTTCAATCAACATTCCCTCGTGTTTATTATATTCGCGAACGACTTCTGGATATATTCTAAAATACCCATTAAAAATTATGAGCAAAACCGGATAATGAACATTCGTTATTATTATTTTTTTTATTTTTGTGACCGTACTACAATTGAAAAATAATTACACTAGATTTATTATTGCTGATGAAAAATAAAAACAAATAACTCGGTAAAATTTTATTATTTCAACATATTAACTCACAATGTTTTCAGTGAAGACTCCATAGTGTAAAAAACGTCCGGTTCGATAACTTTTAAACCCGGGTTGTGCGCTAGGTCTCTGTACAAAATAAAATATTACGTTTAATACTTAATTTCACGGTGGAAAAATAAAGTTAATAGAGTTTGGTATGTACTAACAAAAACACCACTTGAGGCATTCCACGAAACGTGCCGTCCCGAATATGAGTGAGCGAGTTAAATTTTAAATCTCTGAAATAACACACAGATTACTTGTTAAACCCGGCAAATACAATAAAGTAAATGAATAATATAATATAACAGAAGGTTATGTACTAACAGACTTATTAACTTTCTGAGACCGGAGAACGCGTCCGGTTCTATTACTGAAATATTCTGATTGCTCAAGTCACTGTTGAACCAAAATTCGCATTAAACACCACGGTATTCGTAAATAAGATCCGTTAACTAGCCCTTATCAGTTATCCGCTTGCTGAGGCAGTTTTAACTCAAATTCTACTCACGATTGCTGCAGGTTATACCTACTTATTTGAGGTTATTACTTAATAAAAAAAAATATATATACACGAAAAATAAAATTTTAAATTACTAAAGGGGAGACGTAATAAGAGTCTATACACATGCATAGCCACCTACAACGCGGGATCGGAATCAATACTCGGTAAAAAAATCGCGAACCAATCTTACCACTACCGACGCTAAAATGCATCCAGACATGATAATAAGAAAGAATTACCGGAATACAAATACAATCAACTCAATTGCACATAAATAATAACACTCATAAAGTAAACAATAGATAATAAACACAAACACATCACTAAAAAGTTTTTAACAATTACATAACCTCAAATAAGTTTAACCTGCCGGGCTTAATGAGCGTTGAACTAAATCTGTCTTAATAAGCGGGCAACGTTTAATAGGAAAGCAGTTAACAGTCATCGAACCTTATATGCAAAACGATATTAGACTTTAAACAAATCTACTTTATGATTCTAATATTATAACTTATTATACTCACAGTGTAAGCAAATCATATAAACCGACAAACGCGAAAGAATTCAATTTTCTAATTTTGTTCCCGTTCAAATGTCTATAAAAATACATTATAATCGTATTATTTAATGTTTAATTTATGTAACGTTAATAACTTAATTTAAAATTAAAGTCTTGTTTTCTATTATATTTTTCATGCTTATGTACTGGAAACGACCATCCAACTCGAACAATTTTCTTCGGCTTTATAGTACTCATGACGAAAAAAAATGATACCGCTAAGATTCGTTTGTGAACATCCGTTCGCTAATTACGGCGATTTTTAATATTGCGCATGACGTCATGGATTCGTTCGCCGCGTCGGCGTCCATATTATGTAACACACGGCAATATTTATTCGTTTTTGGTTTAACGTAAAGTAACTGCTTATGAACTTAGTCTTATTTCGAAAGACCTAATCAAATGCACTTGAGAGTATCTCATAATCTTTCTATTCGTATAATCATATCACATTGATAACAAAAATGTATTGCGATACAGCACTGTCATAAGAGTGCTGGTCATATTCATTATTCCGTGGCACTGCTATGAGTATATTTTTAATTTTATATAATTTCATATCATCGATGTATATTTTCCACAACAATATTATAGTCTTATCGCCGTTTAATGTTATAAATATCTGTATGGTTTAACGATTGTCAAAAGAAAAAATCATTTGAAATTAATAAAATCGCACAAAATGTTATCACGTGATATTTACTAATAACATTGTACCTAATCTCTTGTTAATCTCCTTAACCGGGCAAATATCTCGGATTAACTATTCTACGGTTTCAGTCCGGTTAAAATGTTTACCGAGTGAAAATAAAATCACATTTCTAGTTTAACTGGGGATTAAAATTGACTGGAGTTTAAATACTCTTAACTGTAGATTGATAAAATGGTTCTAAAAGGTACACGAAGTCACGATCGCCCAAACAGTTATTACACGCGTTCACAGTGAATGTATGGCAAATTCGTAAATTCGTGTTATTTTTTTCCTAAAACATTGAACCAAAATGTGATATAGTTTATCGTACGAATAGAAATATTATGATTTACTCTTAAATACATTTGATTAATTCGAAAAAAATTAATTCATCAGCAGTTTTTTTACGTTAAATCAAAAACGGGGGTAAATATTGCCGCGTATTATATATGGCTGCCGCCGCGGCGAACGAATCTATGACGTCACGCGTAATGTTAAATATGTCCGTAACTAGCGAACGGATAGTCACAAACGAATTTTAATCGTATTATTATGCTACTTAGACTGTATTCTATTTATTATGGTAATAAAATAATTATGTATTTTTCGAGTCGGATGGTCGAGTACAGTTTTACTGAAAATCAGATAATACTCCACAATACTTCTCCACTGAACGAACCAATACGTGCGTGTTAACATTTTAATGTTCATTATTTATACAATTTATTTAATCTGTTATAACTGAAACGCTAAAGATTGGTTGGTGACTTTTTTAAAATTTGAACTGATTATTTATAATAATAGATGAATAATAGAACTAATTTAATCCCGGAGTTAAAATGTAAAATAGATTGACATTCTATTTAAATTTTAAAAATTTACTTCAGGTCCAAGATTTTATCGAAATAAGACTTAAGTTAGTATATTAAAGATACGAGGTATGCTGAACTATAAAACAAATTTAAAGAAGATTAATTGTTTTTAAATTGTTCCCAGTATTTAAAAAAAAGCTCCGAAGGGTTATTTTGATTATTTTAACCACAGGCCATTGGGCGTTTTCTTTAATTTCAATAATGATAATATAAATATTTAAATACAAAATTGTAATATTAAAAATACTTTTTAAAAAGTATCTCCAGTGTTTCAAAATAAAACTACGAAGGTTTTATTATATTTATTATAACTACAGAACTTTTAACTTTTCCTTTAATTTCAATAATGTTAATTTAAATATTATGTATAAAATATACGTAATTCCAATTTCTATGAATCTGACTTATAAACATTGAATAATTTTAAGTTTTGTAGTAATTACTACAAACTAGGGGGCAACGCAAATATTAGTTTTCGCAGCTAAATTCTGTTCTGTATAGAAGTTAATGAGAGGCTGAACCTACATTGCAACATTGCTTAACTATATAATAATTAATTAATCTCACAATCCCGTCAGCCGGTTCAGTCCGTTAAATGAACCATTCTGCAAAATCGTTATATTGTTATTCTGTAAATTCAACGTTTTCAAACGCAAAAGCATAGAAAACATAAACGGTTCCAGATGTGTTATCGAATTGTTCCTCAAGTCTCTAGAAATTATCAGAAAATTATGTTTTTTTTAAAAAAATTAACAATCTCATCGTCTATCCAACCATGATTGACGACATAGGTTTTATATAAACTTACAAATGAACTAATCGACCCAGGTTTTGAAACGTTTTCGAATGAAGATCACCAGAAAAATTATTGCCGGCTAAATGGCTACAACAAGAATTTATGTTTAATATATATTTGTTATTATTTATTTTTTATTTAAATTATATTAACATAGTTTTTCCGTTATACTATACAGATAATAATATTGATAGCAAATTATGTGGGTACTAACAAGAACGTGATTTCCTTTTCTACGTCAAACGGGAACCGGTTGCTACCGGTGCAATTTACATGAATGTCTTGACACAAACAGTTGTCTGTGATTTCCGAACACTTGAATGCTGAAATTTTTAACCGTTAGAATTTTAATTTTCTTACCTTGGTGAATAAAACAAATAAAATGTTTAAATGAATTCTCACGGCACTCTTCGTCGTCCCACGTCAAATCGCAATCCACATGATCGTTACATACCATTGATTGTTTTATACAAAATCCCTCGTGGCATCTGTATTCGTTTTCAGCGCATGTAGAATTGCCTGATAAAAATCATTAATACTATGTGCAAATATCAATAATCTTCATTGAGTCCGTTGAGGCATTAACAGAATTAATACGTACGATAAAATCTCGATAAATTTAAACAATTTTTGAAATATACGCGTTCGCAAGAAAATGTGAAACTTGTATTGTTATTATTCCCTGGTTTCTAGCCCTCTAAATACCATTTCACGCCCAATGTAGGAGAACGGTGATAGATGTAAGTACACGCAATATTAACTCAACTCTGAGCAATACTCGCATAATAAAAATACAAGTTCGAAAAATATCCTAAATCCAATATTATCATTCGCAAAATTATTATATGTCCAAAACATTAAATCCACAAAAATACTCAAAGTCCAATATTTAATTCACAAATAAAACACGATTCCGAAAATACGTAGAATAGAGTGATGTGAAGGTGCTCGTAACAAATCGAATATTTTCTCTCCCTACCGTTTTGGAAATGCATTAAATATATTACAAAAAAAAATTGATTTTACGAAAAAAAAAAAGTAATCATCATTAACTTGCTGCCTAGATAAACTTCTACGGAAGCCTATTTTCCCCGTCTATTGAAATATTCTCCTCATTACGTAATAAATACCTCTATTGAATTATTATTAAAACGATTTCTCTCTCGCAGTTTTATTCATAATAACTTTCCAACATTATCTATACTAATATATAAAGCTGAATAGTTTGTAACTATGTTTCAAAGAGCCAATATCAAGAACTATCACTCCAATTAAAAAAATTAGTTTAGGTAGCCCATTCATTGAGAAAGGCCACTTTTTAATCCAGAAATTCAGCACCTAAAAGCTGATACGGGGTTTATTGTAATATTGAAATGAAAACCTAATTATTTTTGTCGATTTATGGGTTACTTTGGTTACACGAATAAAAAAAAACAGCTATTATTAGTTAATTTGACTGTTACAAGCTAAAAACTACCCTTATAAAAAAAAAATTATTGGGTACAATAATCTATTGTAGGATATACGAAGCGGAAACGGAAAATCACGGAGAAACACAGTGAGATGAGTTTTTATATTTTCAATTGTATTTTTTTTTGTTTCAATACTATACGCGGGCAATGTCGAGCAGGGTATAAAATACATGGTCCAAACCACTGGGTCTAAAAGCTTGAAATTTTGCACACAAGTTCCTTAGACAATGTACCTAGGTGACAGCTAAAACAGAATTCATTCGAAATTCAACTCCTAAATAATGAAAAGAAAATTAAAGAAATTACATTTGTTTAAATACATGTAAAGCAACGGTAAATTACAGTAATAAAGACAGGGATGAAAACTTAGGTCATGGAAAATACGTTTTTATTTATTTGTTTTCCCTTCAATACTGGTACTAGATAAACCACGGGGAACAGCTCTACAGAATGATCAACAAAACGTAAGCCACTAATTATCTCTGAAATTATTAATTTTTTTCTAAATTTCTTTTTATAATATTTAAGAAATTATAGCTCTAAAATTTTAAATTTCTATTGCCTCCCTTATTTCAATGGGTGAAACCATTCTTTTCGCAGAAACCTAAAAGTGAAAAATCTCGTAAACAGGTTGATGGAAGTTGAAAATGTCAATACCGAAATTGATTTAAACTAATAATCGATCTATTTATGGACTTTTCAACAGAGGTTTCCATTTGAAAATCAAAAATAAGTAGTAGCTTAACCACCTAAAATAAGAATGTAATAAAAAAAAAAACAATTTTACATTTTAGAGTTTTTAAATGTTCTAAAACACGAATTTCGAAAAATTTTAATAGTTTTCGAAATAATGCGTGTCCTACGTTATGTTTATCACTCTGTAAATAATACAATGTACTCGAAAAGTATTTACTTTTGAAACATTATACCTATCTAAAATTACCGGACAACAAATAATATCGTAAGCATTTTTTTCATGTAGATAATAAAAAAACGTATAACATACCGCAATTTTGTAAATGCGATTGATCCACACATCCCGTTCGTTGGTCTTCGGTTTTTTTACATTTATATTTTAGCGGAATACATTGACCATTGTCGCATTGAAATTCGTCAAGTGTACATGATTTGTACGCTGTCAAAATAATTTATTAATTAATAATAATATATATTAATTCATAACATAATTATTATTTTGAATCTGGCAGTATTGATTAATTTAAATTTTTTTTTTTTTTTTTTTTATTGTGTGTTAGATTTCGGATAACTTAATATTTTATATTTTATAATTACTATTGTGTACAAAAATATAGTATGAATGTTAACGTCGACTTCAGCATTAAAAATTAATTGCATTCTAATAGTATACAAATTCAACAATTCGTGATCACCGTATACATTTTAAATTACCGCAGAATGCATATTTATAAGATATGGATATATACGAATAATAACAGGGGAAGCTGCCCCGAGCAACACTTAAAAAAAAAAAAAAGACGGTAAATTTTAATGGAAGTTTCGTGAATTAAATTATTAATTTATCGCGGCACGGCGGACTTATTAAGATTAGGTTAAATATACATTATACCTACATAGAAATTAATAAAAAGAAAATATTTAAAATGGCGCGATATAATATTAATATAATGCAGTTAATAACGGAAATGCCGCTTGACCGTTAATATTTAATGAATTCGGATCATACTCCGGAAGATCCGAAGATAAATAATGTTTGGACAGAAATCGTTTGAAATAAAATTCGATATTTATTATTTATAGAGAATTGAATAATGTTATGATGAATAAATTGAATATTTATCATCATAATGAAAAAACACCTGTAAGCATCAGAACTCCGGCATTTGAGTCGAATTTCGTATAATCGATTGGCCGCCGTTTTTTTTTTTTTTAAATATATATGGCTATCGGAGGTTTTTACATTTTTTTTCTGTAGTGATATTTAAAATCCGGTATTTTCTTTGAAAACACGAAATTTAAATATAAAAATACGTCTTAGGATAATGGGGACTGGTACAGCCACTGTTATAGATAATTTAATGTATACCTGTAAGCAACGATAACCTATTGCTTACGAAAAAACGATTCTAAGGGAAGTTCAATTGATAGTGATGCTTTGTAAGAACTATTATTAGGTATTTGCATAATTTTATTTTTTTTTATAACTATAAAGATATAATTATAGTGATATTTTTAAACGTGCTGACCCAATTTGTATGATTAAATTTTACATGAATTTAAATTCAGAGTTTTGTAATTTTTTTAGTGTAGTGAAACGCGATATTTTCGTCTACTTATATTTTTCACTACATTTAATGAGTATCCTGTGGTTATAACAACTTTAGTTTTTCAAATGGAAACTTACATGTTTTGGTGTAAATTATCAATCGGATGATATTTTTTTTGGAAATTTTGTCATACTGTAATCGAAATTAGAACGAAAAGTTTCTGAGTTATTCTATTTTAAATACTAAAGGATATTAGCTTTCTATGGGGATTAATACAGAATGTATCATAGAAATTGTGTAACAATTAATTTGTTACTAAGTAATTACAATTTGTAACAGTTCCTTGTTAAGAACCGTGCAATTATTATCCTTATTTTAAATAGAATAACTCAGAAACTTTTTATCCAAATTTAAATTACAATACGTCAATATTTTCAGAAAAATCATCTGACTGACCGTTTGCATTAAAACATGGAGGTATGAAAAACTAAAGTTGGTATTGTCACAGGATACCCCTAAGTGTTGTGAAAAATCTAATAATTTCTTTTTTTGAATAATCAAAATAATTTTTGTACAATTGTACGTAATCATTTTTGTTTATTGTCTAATAGTAATAATAATAGAAACTCATATTTCTATATAGGTAATTGTTTACATCATAAACTGTATGGTTTACATTGCCCAAGCTGCACCGGGCAATTCTGTATTGCCCGGACCATAATTTTACCTATATTACCCATCAAAATCGGGCTGTATCACAATGCCCGAGCAATGTGTACTTTGTCCGATATTCCACTTTGCTAGTAACACGTATTATTCTTTCGGGGTATACTACAGTATAAAAAAAAATAATAATAATAACAATAATATTATTTCAAAACACTTCACTACTTTTCTTTGAACATTAAATAAATGTATATAGCGGAGTGAACAAGTCAAGGTTTGTTGTAGATGCGAGATGAGAAACGAACGTAAAAAATAAAAACCGCTGAGCAATAAAGAACAGCTACGGCACGGAGAATAATATAATTAAATGGGGCAATAAAAATCTAAACACATCACTTACTATATACGAGTTTGTATATTGATTTTACAGTTTTCAGTAGTTTAACATTGACGTGTTCGTGTTTTCGAATTTTCTACTCTCGGAATATGCTTTTTAGTACCGCAGTCGTGTTCTCTGCTATACTTATTATATTTTGATGTTGACGGGAATAACGTCGAACACGTTCAGTTTTAAAAATTCGGTCGACAACCGTTATGGGGAAAAAAAAATGCCAACTGATGGTACTTAGTGTTAGAACTGCCGAATATTTTAAAATGTGAAGAAAAATAAATTCTGATATATTTGGTTGTTCGTACGATTTGTACAATCCAAAAATATCCGTGATGTTCGAATATCTGCAAGTACTACTCGGGTTTTACACGTGATATTTGTTTGTATCTACTGTTCAACTATCTTTGTTAATCGAATACTCGAGCAATGTAATCAAGAATATTTTGGTTATGTAGTATGGTCACGTGCATATTAAAAGAAGCATTAAATCAACAGAAATCTTGCTAATAACCAACAATTAATTATATAGTTAAAATGTTTACAATTAATCTCATGAGTCACAATAAAAAGAAATATTTGAATAGCTATGGAAGTACAGAGATCCGAATAGGCACTATAAAATTAGAGTACATTCGGATTTCGCAATTTAAATTATCCGGGTGTCAGATTCCGGTCGTACGAATATACGACTCAACACTAGTATATTCATAATACATACGTTAACTTGCTACTATTGCGTTTACTTTTTAAGTAATACAATACACTATACTACTACAGTATGAGTAACCTAATACACAGGCGATTCAATGAGTACGCGACGAGAGTTCTAAAATGTATAAGTACCTACGGCGGATTTTTAAAAGTATTATTTTCTACATTTAAAACTATGTATTTCACTAATACCGATACATTGTTAAACTATAGTGGTACCTATAACATTAAAAAAAGACCCGATACTTGGAACGGGTGCGGCCACTGTTGTAGGTGGGTATTCGGGAAGGTGGTATGCATGAAGTTATTTAATTTATACCTGTAACCAACGAAAACCAATTGCTAACGAATAACGATTCAGATTCGATTATAAATGTTTTGAAAGGCCGTAATTTTTATGATTTTCGATAAAATTTTATCTTAAAACGCTTGTATTTAAAAAAAAAAAAATACTACATTGCACTCGATTTTATTTTTACCACTAAGTAAGAAATATAATAAACCTCCTGTCAAATATTCAAACATTTCTGTTAAGTCTAAAAATTTCATTCACTAAGTACCTATCAACTAGAAATTACATAATAAAAACTCACAAAGTTAAAATGTCCATAAATAACTCAACAATGACTCAAATGTTTTGAAAATTTTATTACGTCTACAAAAGCAAATTTAAGTTTTTCATCAAAATTTCAAGTCTCCTCGAATATTTTTAACTGAATTATATTAAAAATGCAAAATTTTGAAATAATAACAGAATTATTACTTTCGTAAATTGTTCAGTAATTTCTACGCAGTTTTCGGTTTTTCCTCAATTATTTCAAAAACTGCAAAGAAAATCAAAAAAACTACATTCTTGGTTATTAATTAGACTGAAAATTCAATAAAAAAAAAAAAAAAAAAGTAACAATTTTAAATAATTAAATCGTTGCGTCGTTATTTGAAAAAAAATCGTATTTTACGGGGATCTATCTCCCCCGCCCCCCGTTATAACGTCCGTGGTATTTATAAACAACCGTAAATCAAAAATTGGATGATTATAGAAAAAAAAAAAAAAATGTTTAATTTTTTCGTAAAATCTTCTCGTCAAAACATGATTTATCGAGTTGTAACACTGTTCAATAATATGATTAATGTGCAGTATTCAAATGGATATTATTATTTACTTATTAACGGATATAAAGTCAAAATTATATTATAATGACAACAATGATAGTACCTCAAAATTAATAACTAATAAGAATAGATGTATGAACAAAGAACGTTAAAGTTCTCACACTATACATTTGAAATAAACATCATTAATTAAGTTGTGTATATTATATAAATTAGGTTAAAGTAACTTATCGTGTAAATAGTTTATCATCGATATATTGCCGGCGGATTGTAATAGTATTAATAGGAGAACACGCTAAACATTTTTTTAGAAAATCGACACGCATAGAAGCGGTTTTTGTCCCGTATCATTATAATGGTTATTTCAAAGTTTGTTAGACCTAAAAGGAAAAAATCGTCAATCTCCCTACTTAAAAAGTTTTTTTTCGGAAACGCGGCATAAAAATTAATTCTTCTATCTTTGAAAGTTTTAGAATTTAATAATTAGATTTAATACTCTCGTAATCAGAGTGAGGTTGTATGGTAACATTGCAATTATAACATAATATATTAGCGCAGAACTTTGTTTTGAATGGATTCGGTTCGATTGCTTGGAATATCGGTTTCCCAAATAAGACTAGCGGACTCCGGGAGTGGACTGATTAGAGAGGAATAGAGGCATTGATAGTGCGATAGAATATATTTTACTGAAATCACAGTTTCCGATAACCGCATTACAGGCGCACGACGAACCGATTGCGGAGAAATATAATATTATTCTAACGGTGAAACTCGTTCGCCTGAACGTTTCGCGGCAATCGACTATTACACGCCTACACCTATTAATTCGGGCACAAGTGATTTTTTTTTTTTCTAAGCTATAAATAATATAACATTCGACTCGTTTTTTAGTCGTATAAAACGAAACTTTTACTTAAAGCCGGGATAATTTCGATTTACGAACCGCGAAGTGTTACAAACGCCACACACGTGTACATTACTATTATGCAACAATACTTGGGTGGGTACACACGCATACGGAGGTTGTTTTTTTTTTTTTTAAAACCCTTTTTATAACAAACTCGACGTCGTTTTTTTCCGACTGCGTCGTGCAGTGTAGGCACAGGTACCCCCCATACCTATCCGATTGTACACACACCCGAACAATTAACCGTGTGTTCAACGGTAGTCCCCCGTGAATTATTATCGTCCGAATAAAATAAAAACGCGTGCGTAAACTATATAACGACTTCTCGGGGGGTGCTTTCGGGGGAGTGAGATGTCCGGTTTATAGGCGGCGGGACGCCTAAAATTTATATGTATACGAGTAGCGTTTCAAACGGAGATTTTTTTTTTTTTCTCTGCGCGCTAACGGATCGTAAAAATGTTAGGCGACCGTGCGGGGAGGTAAAGCGCACCTGCCAAAAACACAGAGAAAAAAAGTAATAATATTGTGTTTCGCGCAGTTCATATTTCACGTGTCCGGCGCGCGTAAATAATCGTCCGCGAGTCAATTAGCACATACACACGTATACTTATAGTACACCCGTGCAGAGTGGGAAACGAAATACTCACAGCAATTTTTCTCGTCCGAACCGTCTACAGTGCAATCGACCCAGTGGTCGCACCGTTTTTCCGGCTTCAAACACTGTCCACCGATTTCGCATCTGTACCAATCCGGGCCGGGACACGTCGTGTTGGCTGCAACAAATCATTACAACGGAATCGTGATACGTGTATAGTTATTTTATTCGCCCCGTCATAAAGTATAATGCCATACACATTATTGTGCGAGGAAAATAACGGACCGGAAAATCAAAATTCTTGTAAATAAAATCAACCGGAAATTATACAACACTGTACGGATTTGTAAAAATTCGACGGAAAACACCGACACGGCCCGTGCCACGGGCGTGCCGGTGATTTAGATGAAAAGTCCGGACGGGGTAATTTTGATTTATATCCGCATGCGCAACGATAAATCATCGCTGACGAGAAACGATTTAGAGCGAAGTTCGGTTAAACATGTTTTCAATATATTATATTGAAAACTGTAGTAACTAATTCGCGACTACGAAATTAATAACAATTGTCCGTGTTTTTTCGTCTCGAAATTTTTACCGTTTTTACGGAACCCAAAACAAAGTTGTATAGGAACACGTAAACCGAAAATTATGATGTCAAATGCCGTGATTTTGATATGATTTTCGTCGAATTTTAAACTTTAAACGCTGAAGTTATAAAAAAAAAAAAAAAAAAAAACCGCGCCTTTGAATTTCTCGTATTTTTATAGTGTCACACATATAAGAACAATAATCGATACGACGAATCAAAATTTCGAGGATTTTCGAAAAACCGATAAAAATTTGATCCGCGTACCTGTTTGCCAAATGTTTAGTGTAATATTTCCGAATGTCGACCGTAACGGTTATAAACTTTTTTTTTTCGTATAAGCCACGAACTTACCGCATCCGATTTCGTCGGTTTTGTCCCAACAATCGTACTGGTTGTCACAGCGTGTTTCGGACTTCACGCACTGGCCGCTGTCACATTGAAATTCAAGTCGATCGTCGCACGGTGGCGGCGGTTCGCATCCCGTTTCGTCGTCACCGTGTAAACATTCCGCCTTGAAATTACAACGGTGACCGGCCGGCAAATATCGAGTGTCCCGACATTGAAAATAGTCGGTTAAAACGGCATCTTTGGGCATACCTGTGCAAACAGACACACGGTCCAGACACGTATACAAAGATTCAACCCCTCTACCGAAATTTAAAAAACGCTACTCGTAAAGTATCATAATGCTACTGTTACTTATGAAGCCCCTCCCCGCGTTTCCCGGAATCTTGTCCTGTATTCGTGCCCACACGTACGGTCACTATCGAACACAATTTGAAGATATCGAGAGGCAGTTAACAATAGCATTAACCGCTAAATCGCACTGATCGCAGTATAAATCGCATAAAGGAAATCATTAGCATTATGATAACTGTCAGAATTTAATTGATAACATGAAACTATATCATTTACAATTTTTCAAAACGTTAAATATTAAAATTCACGTGTCACATCCGCACGGTGAAATCGTTTATTGTCCAGACAGCGAAATTCGTCTAGATCGTGAATTTTTACGAAACTACATTATATGGTCAACGGTCATCCAATTCATGAAACGGATGTCCATTTTATGAATTGGACAATACCTATGTTGGACACTTTGTATAGATAACTATTATGAGACAAACTATTGTGACCATTTAAACTATACGAAAATATAACGCTAAATGTTGTATTGGACCGACAGAAATATGCCCTTAAAACCTATTAAATATGTATGATGCAGTTACGTCACACAAATTACCAAAATATGTTCTAAAAAGAAATAAATTCTAGTTCTAGCCCATTTAACGGCCCGCGCGATTATAAACTTTAAATAAAATCAAAATCCTTAGAACATATTCTGAACACGCACAAAATCCTAAAATATGACTTATTAAAAATTCCATTAATACTAAGACCATTTTACAATATTGACTCTATTTATTAATTGGACGTTTAGATTATAATGAACTATGATAGGATTTTGTTTTGATAATAAAACATAAATAATAATAAACGAAATATTTGAGCATTTACTTAGGTTCGAGGATAAATTATTTCCGAAACACTAATCCTGGATATTTTTTAAATCAATTTTCAAATCTTTTAAATTTTTTATTTCTTTAAAAATGTTGCTTCGTCAGTAAATAGTAACATATTAGAATAAACAATTACGTCTAGAAGATCATTTATAAAAATAGAGAAAAGAAGTGGTGATACATGAACACTTTGTGGAACTCCCGAAGTTACAGATATCTGTTAAGAAAAAAAATTGTACATTTAACAATTTGTTTACGGTTTGTTATAAATGATTTATACCAATTCAACATGGGATATTCAAATCCAAAATCCTTAAATTTTGTGATTAATAAGTCATGTTCTATTCTATCGAAAACCTTTTCCATATCTGTGTATATATAACATCAGTTTGAGCTCCATTATTGAAAGAATTAATAATGTTTTGTTAAAAAATGCATAAGTTTGTTATAGTTGAGCGGCCTGTACGAAACCCGTGCTGCTCGTTTATTAAATATTGATTACATATCGGTGTAATATACGTGTTTAACATTTTTGAAAATAATTTAAAAATAATTAAATTTTTTGTGATAGATCTATAACTATTGACTTCGTTTTTATTACCTTTTAAAAATGATTCGTTTCATAATAATTGCACAGAGTGTAATACAGGTACATCTATTTCACGAAATGGGGATATCTATGTTATTTATTTTCGTCAAAATTCACGATCTTGACGTCCAATTCATAATGAAATGAGCGATTTCACTATGTGAATGCGAGATATATTTTAATACCGCATAAATAACACGAAAAGTACATCATTTATGCGAAATCGCTTAGAATCTGTCATCAAAAACAATAAAATGGGTAATTGGACCGCATTTTTTTTCGGTGCACCTCAGTTGCGTCCCGTAAAAAAGATATACACGAATTTTGTCTCACTGTATTGATTAAGTAGTAGATTTTTATTTCGTTTTCAGGGGTTCTCTGTGATGCATTAATTATAAGGGAGCTTGTTATTATGTTTCGATATGTATAAATTACGATTATGAATGGATTTTTTTATCGACGCCTGGTTGATAAGCAACAATAAGCAAATTCGTATCATTATTATTACTATTATTATTTTTACTCGCATTTTGATTCATATTATTATTATTTATTTATTTTATGATATTACGAACTACATTAATTTTGATTAGATTTAAGTGATTTAACATTTATTTATTTTTTTTTTTTACATTTGATAAACCAATTTTTGATTGACTCGTGGTTATATTTATAATTGTTATTTATTATTTATTTTAGTTGAAGAACCCCTGATTAAAATACACGAATTGCGTTCTGGATTTTTTGCGACTCAATTCGTGTACATTTTTTTTACTAGACGCAACTCATGTGCTCCCATTTTTTTACTTAAAATTGTGACATTGCATACAGAAGGCGTTTGTTTAGTTTATTTTAAAACGCCACGCCTATAATACTGAATGTAGTAATTTAGACCCATACAGATCGATCGAATCATGTTTACAGATTCCTCCCATTAAGTAATTTTTCTTAAACATGTATAGTAATAAATGAGATGATTTTTTTAACAACGACGCAAAACAAGAAACGGCCTATACACGACTTCTATGGTACAGTCGGTATACAATCCCCATAAAAAGTTATTATCCTTAGTATATTTAAATCCAGATAACTCGGAAAATTTCTGTTCAAATTTTGACTACACTACGTAAACATTTTTTTAAAAATCATCTAATTGATAATTTCCATCAAAATATGTAGGTTTTGTAGATAACATGTAGGTAACATTTAAATAACCAAAGTCGTTATCACCACAGGACACTCCTTCAATGTTGTGAAAAATCTATGTATGCGACCATACAAATAGTTACCCATTTTCATGCTTAAAACATCCTCCTGTATATTATATTATATCTTCGAAATTATAAAATATAATTATGTAAATAATAATAATTTATAGTTTTTCAAAATTATCCTTATACCCCCCCCCCTCCTCATGACAAAATAATTTTACTCCACTGCACTTTTGTATAATATAAGGTGTCGAACCTAAAACGACATAAAAATCAAATTGTCTATTCACTATTCAAAATAAAACGCGTAAAATGTTCAGTTACGTGACAGTTCGAAAACTCATTTTAGGTGCAATTTAGCGATTTGATAACAGAAATTATATAAATCGCTAAATACAGATTGGGTGCACATCAAAATTTTAAAATTGGTCTAGAAAGACATAAATACATAATACTCTGAAAAAAAATTTGTAAAATCAAATTGCATGTTAATAACTTATGTTATAATGTTATATAATAATTATAAACTATCAATGCATAACTACAATAATAACTGTATATAAAACATACAACTCAAGGTGCTTAAAGAATATTTGTCTTTCTTGACAAATTTTAAAATTGATGTCCAAATGTTCGTACGCTGTTCATATTTAACGATTCAAATACATTTTAGTTTTCATAGCAGCACTTATTTGACAAAATCTTTTCGATTTTCGATTATTTGCATTTTTCAGTTCAATTTTCATTACATTTACGAAATTTGTTTACGTTTCATTAACCAACGCGGCAATGATAAATAGACTTTTGCGCTAAGGGGTTAGGTGTAGATACAGATCATATCCTTATTAGGTACATATATCGAATAACCGTATATTGGGAAAAAATAGAACCGGAAAAAAAACCATCAATCAATAATTTTGAGCGCAGTGATTTTTTTTTTTTTTTTTTGTCTCTCTATAGTTTTATCCCTTGTTCAACGAACCGGCAAGAGTATATACGAGTATTATATTATTATAAAGGTAGGCAATTGTCAATCTGCCTAATTTATTGTAAACAATTTTACAAATCAACCAACCCGCGAACACGTTGATAAATCGCAATGGTAAACAATGTATGTACCTATGTATACTATGCATTCACGTGTCAATAACAATGTAGCTAAAAAAAAAAAAAAAAACAAAAACAACAACCTATATTATACTTTATAGAAGCTTTAGAGTTCTTTCAAAAAAAAAAAAACCGCCACGAACACGCCATTTACGGTTTAAATTGTAATGGACACGTCATCACGGCATTAAACATGAAAATAAATTATATTTTTTTTCCCCAGACACAATTCTAACACTTTTTAAAAATGTTTAATAGTTGTTTATTTTTTCCCTCTGCTTTTTAAAACTTTAGAAAATGTGCAATTATTAATTTTATAAATTCCATTAAGGCGGTGGCGTGGCGAGAGCATTGTTCTGGGATAGCCGTTCCTGGCTAAATTTAGGTATTTGGGTGGGTAGTTTGGTGTCTATTAAACAATAGCGTCTTTAATAGATAATTAACTAGATTATGTTTGATAAAAAGTATGCAATGTAACAAACTAGATATATGACGGATACGAGTACGAGTATACTAGTATCTTTTGCAAATGCTGACCGATAACCGAAATACCGACACAGACAAATGTCCGACAAAATTCGTTTAATATTATTTTCACGGCAGTCTATCACTGATGATCCCGACCCGTTCTCTGTAGTTTATAAACACATTATCGCGATAGATACTTCGTCGTGACAATTTTATCGTGTGCCATTTCATCATGTAATTATTTCATCCCGTGAAATATTAATAATCTGGTGAAATAGTCACAGCCTGTGACTCAAAGAGATGTAATTGTAGAACCATTTAGAAAAATACCTATAATAAAAATGAACCGATCTGGAGACACCTAAAAGGACTGGCATTCAATTTTCACTGCCACAGACATACTATTTGTAAATATTGACTTTTTATATTTAAAAATAACGCATTATTTAAATGCATAAAATTATTTAAATTTTATAACTTTTAGGTGTTTTTACTAATTATTGACTTATTATATTATAAATTAACATATTAAAACTATTTCAATTTTTTTTTTTTTTTTTAATCATTTGTACTATACGTAACACGATTTCCCGCAATGAAATGCCTGCATACCTTACTGGTGCCGTGAAACGTTGTTAGAGATTTTCGAAATTTTAATTTAAGCATAATACCCCTTGAAAGCCCCTTAGAAAATTAAGAAATGGCCTCCCTAATTAGAGAAAATTTTCTTCTGGAAAGATGCTACCCTTGATAGCTTTGGAACAAGATTTCAGGTAGAATAGATAAATTATAAATGTATAATACGCATAATAGTGCAGTGATGGTCAAATGATTTTATAATGGTAGGACAATGATAATTTGTAAGAACTAGTATTATTTACGTAATTTTTTTTTTATATAACTTTAAAGATATAATGTATAGGCTGATTTTTCAAACTTCCTCACCCAGTTTGTATCGTTAAATCGGGCATGAATTCACATTCTGATATTTGGAATTTTTTTAGTGTAGTGAATGGCGATGTTTTTGCATACTTCGATTTTTCACAACATTTAAGTTGGTATCGTCACAAGATACCTCTGCATAGTTTAATTATAAAAATAACTATTAAAAATCATAGACAGAAAAAAAAACCCATTATAGTAAAACCTAATAGTCCTCTACTAACGCTCTGAATCTAAAATGTATTGCGACGGTCGACTATTTATAAGTATTTTCATAATAATTATATAAGTAGTCTATGCAAGTAAGCACCCACCCACGTATATATAAACAGATTATGAAATATGTTTTTAACAAACTTTCCATACACCCAAAGACGGTGTATATACATGTATTTAATAATTTATTCATCCTCGTCAAAAACACGATACCTTTGTTGTATATAAGCACATCGTGTTTTGAAGGTAATGATTATTTTGTTATACCTATTATAAAATAATAATTCTCAGGCGGACTGAAATTTCGAATGCAGTTATAATATTATACTCGTGTATAGGAAAATTTCAAATGCACTTTATACGCTATAAGTACATTAGTTTATTAAAAAAATATCATCAGTATAAGAAACGTAATATTATATACTAAAATAATAAACTTTGAGTGTTTTTAACGTTAATAGGTCATTAATTATTCTCGTTACAAAGTATAAGGTTTCTACGTTATAAAAATATCTGCAGGTTTTGACCCGGGTACCTAACAAAAGCCGCAATTTCACCCTATGGCAATGACGGAAATTATTATGGTAAGTACCTCGAAAATTTAAAAACACTGATATTCATCAATCAATCAACGGTGTTCACTACCCAATGGCCTACACCTATGCCTAATTAAACAGAACACCAGATTTTTATATTTTTTCGGTGGTACTGTTGATTGATTAATATAATAATATGTTAAAAATTATAAATTATAATAATAACGATCATATTCATAAAATTAACAAATACATGAACAATTATTTCTACACAAATTAACAAGTGCCTGTAGGTAAGTGAATATTATAAAAACGAGATTTCCGGTAGGTACTTGTAGAAAAGTTGCAAAAAAAAAAAAAATAAAAAAAAAACTCGTCAACTACAATATTGTTAGTGGATTATATAAGTGGAGAAGATTGTAATTATAATAGATTACATCGTTACTCGATTTGATTATTATGCACTAACTATACTTATTTTTTTTTTTTTTTTTTTTACTGTCTGAAACTTGGAACTGTAGTAGAAATTAAGAGTGGACGTGCAAGGATGAATATGACAAAGACTACGATTTTAATAGTATTATATTATTATTATTTTCATCAAAGAGACAGTAAATTAATGTAAATTTACTTAAACTGTGATAATGATTGGTGATTAATTATTATTATTATTATTATATGAGTAACATTTTAATTTTTGTCACTCGACAGTAATATACTTTTACATATATATACACATTATTACCTATTATATTATATTTATTTATACCAACTACACTAATATAAGAAGGTGCATACCTCACTTATTACTTACTACTTATGGTGTTATCTGCAATGTGCGTCCGTAAATTAATAAACACAAAATATAAGTATCTTTCACTAGTCACTACCTATTAACCCATAGGTTAAGTTAACGATGCTCAAAACCGATGCCAACAAAAATCGATGGGGTTGTAATTAAAAATATTCCTTCTAAACAATTTGTTTTAACTAATGTTTTGTCATTCGATAAGTAATACATTTGATAATTATAATATAATAGAAATCACGTAATAAAAAAACATAAAAAAAATAAAAAATAAAAAATTATTAGATTTGCCGATATTTAAATTAAATTATCGTTGAATTGTCGATACAGCAGTCTAAATTTCCAACAATTGGGTCTTTTCACTGCCATTTATTCTTATTTTAGTCCCCGAATATATGAACTAAAAAAACAGCCTAAAAACAAGCTGGTATAATAATTACAATATAATTTACGAGACTGATAGATATCCCTGAATATAAGTAAATTAAAATTAGAATTTTAAATTCTAAATTACTCGTATAGTTCTAAATTAATGTTCGGTTGGTGAACAAACCAAATTAAATGCGTAAGTAAAATAAGTAAAGCAAACTCATGTTTGTATGAATTATCATCAAACTCAATAAATAAAGTAAACAATTTAAAAAAAAAAAAAAAAACCAAAGTAATTAATATTTCTGGATAAAATCTACAAAAAAAGATTACTACTCACTATAATCACATCCAAATTCGTCTGATATTGTGTTCCCGTTAAAGCAGTCATTTTTTTTATCACACACGAAATCTTGGTGTATGCAACGTGGAGGACTCCCCTGTGGCATCCAACAAGTTATAGTTGAACCATTTTGGCAAACCACAACGCCTTGAAATCGAATAAAATAATTTAAACATTTTAAACTTACGGTTTGTTCGGTTTTATGTGTTCAACATAGTTTACAAGCTACTGAATGTTTCAAAAGAAACTTTCAAGAATTTGGTAATATGATTTTCAAATAGTAAAATGTAACAATGCACAAAAACGTCGACAATATTATGATTATTTAAAACGCAAGTAATTTAACGTATTGTTTTTTTTTTTTTTTTTTTTTAATCAATAAACAACTAATAAAACGATTCCCTCTAAACGACTAAAAATACAACATTTAAATATTATTAATAATAATTAATAATCTACGCTCATTAGGTACGCCAATTAATATCATTTACTAATAATATTAGCCTATTAGCTAATATTGGCTGATCATTATTAATATATTTACGATTTTAAAATAGTTTCGTGTCGCGGAATAGTATTACAGTTTTATAAGTAAGTGGTTGATAATGAAAATCCGGAAACCATTATAAATACATTTTCCCGGCTACTACGGGCTTTACTGTGCAAAGCGTAATAATATAACCCTCGGAATTGCAATCGATTTTTTAACTTCTGAGCGAAACGAGAAAGCTTTCAGTTTAAGTTTGTGCTATTTAACATTTTATAGTACTACACACGTACACTCAAATTTCATTGTCCTATACACTATTATAAGACTATTATAAGACTCGAATATTAAAATTCGAAAATTGTACGTTATAAATTATAGATTACCCTAACTAACTGAAAACAGTAGTCAATATAAATATTGAAAAATTAACCTATTGAACAAAATTATACGTCTAAAAAAATAATAAAAACAAAATAAAATCTCAAGAATCAATATGATATATAATACGATATATGCAGTGTCCTACAGTGTTATCCGAATTATAATAACTTTGTCAATGTTCATTTTTTTTTTTTTCTTTTTAATTTCTTTCAATCATAATTTATATTAAGAGGACATAAATGTAGAGAAAAATTAAATTTTTATTTTTTCACTTTTTAAAATTTTCAAGATAGCCACTTCGTAGAGTATATTATTCTAAACATTTGAATATATCATACAATCATATCCGATTAATAGTTTTTTATTTATAGCAGACGTATAGAAAATTAGTATGAAACAATTAATTTTTTATAGAATAACACGTTACGAGATAAGGAACTACAATCAGCACGCCAATTCCTTATATTCTATTGGATATTAACTGTTTTCACGCCTATTATCTATTACACAAATCAGCAATTTTGAACATTTTAATAAGTCAAAAAGAAAAAAATTATATCGTTTCCGTGATCAAGGGTTTAAAATAAAAATCTGACACAAAACCCGGTTGAAAAACAAAATTAAAAAATAAATATTGAAAAAATTGTTATAATTCGGATAACACTGTAGGACGCCCTGTATATATTTTTTTGTTTTTTACAAACGAAGTACCTATATGTACTTACCTATTACTTGGTATAGTATACTTACCTACAAATACAAAATAATCATAATCGTAAAAGAAAATGTATACTTTTAATTCCACCGTTTATTTCGATAGTTTTAAATTGTAAAAATGCAAGAAAATAAAATGGAAATATGGCCTTTTAAAAATAATATTGTGTTTAACGTTAGGTGTGTATACCTAACGTTAGGTACCTGTTAACATGTCCGCGTGAAAAATGTCTTTTACATATTTTATGTTTATTATCCGTTAAAGAAAAAAAAAAAAACACTTTATCATTTGTAAAAATAATATTAAATAAGAAGAAGAGCTCATTCGTTCCACTTCTGGAATATACAATTTTATATTGTACGAATAATAAAATCGAACGCTAAACATTTTTTTTTTTTTATTATATATATATATATATCCTCTATAGAATTGTGATTTTTCTCGGGTCGTGTACTATTCCTTCGCCGCAGAGTTTACTCAAATAATTTTTAACTATCCCAAAGATAAATTTACATTATATACCTACAAGTCTGCGGGCTGCGGGTGAGAGAAAATATATATATTTTTTTTTTCCATTTAATTATTTTCTGTATATTATCCAGCGTCTTCGGTTCTACACAAAACGTCGAATGCCCAACAATAATGCAACAAACCCACAAGCTATTGCATCTTATTGCCCGCGGGTTTTAATAATTTTACACAAAACTCGAACGAACCATTAGAGTTATTATACCGGGTACCTATTGATTTTGATTGTTGTTCATAGAAAATATGTAGAAAAAAAGACCAACATACTTCGCACGTGGGTGCAGCCACTGTTGTGGGTGGAAAGTCGGGAAGGTAGGATACAGACGGGAATTTAATGTATATCTCTAAGTAACGATATAAACCATTTCTAACGAAAAAACGATTCTGAGTGGAATTCAGTTGACAGTGTTGTTTTTTCATCACAATATACGTGTCATATGATCGTAAAATAATTGCATATTCATTAAATATTTTCTTTAATAATATTTGTTTAATATTTTCCCGTTCGCCCGTTTTTCCTCTGTTTTTTTCCGGTTTTTTCAATATATTGAGAAAACTCCAGAGAAAATCAAAAAATGACCTCCTTATAGTACCTCCCCAATCAAATTTCCTTTCAAAAAAAGTGGTATCATTATATATCGGAACAAAAGTGTTTCGTTGACACGTTGTTCACAGGGGAGAATAAAGACCGTAATATTGTACTATACATTCGTACATTTTCCCGTTTTTTTACCGGTTTTTCGAATATATTGAGAAAACTCCTGAGAAAATTAAAAATGACATCCTTATAAAGTACCACCCGAGTCAGATTTTCTTGCAAAAAAAGTGCTACACTTGTAAATCAAAGCAATATATGTTGTAGAAAAGTTGTTCACGGATAAAAAAAAACCATCATTATAAAACCATAAGCTTTTTCGCTCCACTCAGAATCTAAAATAATTAGATATGGTTGAACATTTCTAGAGTCAAATTGCACATTTCTTGATTACTCATTACAATTTCGTTCTAATCGTTTTCTGCAGGTTTCACATTGTAATACAAGTGTTACAACTTTTTTTTTTTTTAATAAATATACATATTATACATCCAAGTATAACGTAATTTTTAAATATTTTTAATGTATTATTCTTATTAATACAAGGATAATACAATTTAGTATTAAATAGACATTTTTCTTTGGCTCTACACCTACGTATGATGTCAGTAGTTATTTTTTTTTTTTTTTTTTAATCGTATTTACCGAACAACGAAACAACTAATTACTTTGATTGACTTTTAAAGCAATTAAAAAATTAATCTACACGTCAAGGCTCGCTAATAAATATATCCGTTAATTTAATAATCATAAATTAAATTTGCATTTAAATTGTTCCTCATTTACAACAGCATACGCGTTCCACGGTGGAACTTGCGACCATTATACATAATTTTTTATTCGTTTTTTTTAAACTGCAAATAATTATTGTTAAACAGTAAAAAATTAATAAACATTTTAAATAATCCGTTACTTACCGTCGATTTTGGTATAGTATTTTTCACATTCCTTCTCGTCGTCACAATGACCATTCCCATGGACATCCTGCAAGCAATCGCAAAGCCCATCGCATACGTTCGCTTTGTTTATACATCTCCCGTTTGTACACCGAAATTTATTATCCGGACATTTCGTACCACCTATATTACATTGGATCAATAATACGGTTGCTGATAAAACGTTGGCAAATAATTATATTGATAAACTATAAGATTCATTTAAATAATCACAATTTAACTCGTCGGCATGATTATCGGTACATTCTGGATATCCGTTGCACCAAAACATTGAGTGGATCCATTTGCTTCCGCCACACTTAACAAAATCATCTGCATTCCATAAAATAAGAATACAAAATCAACAAAATTTATTGAATCATTTTTACACTGTAAATAATTGAGCCCATTGTTAAATCTTCCGTGTGCTTTGAGTGCAGTTCCGTTCGGTAAATTTAATAATTGTATTCTTATATGTTTATTTGGCAACCTAACCACCAATATACCAAATAAATATTATGTTTTCGGATTGTTTTCTTTCAGACGCATAGTGGTTCAGTGTACGCAGAATATCGACAAATCAGTTATTATTATTGAAACCCTGTAGTAGCTGACACTGTACGACGTTAACATTTCGAAATGAATGTACGCCTTATCAATAATAACTTAATGGTTATTAAGAACATACGTTTTTCAAGCTCCCTCACTGGAAAACAAATAACCCACGTGAACTTGTCGAACTTTAAGAATTTCACAGCAATATTTTCGAAAACAATTGGTTGTAGGTGCCTATAGAATATGATACAATAATAAAAAGTCAATATTATTGTCGTGTACAAGAGCAAAAACTGAGCGAGGTCAACTAGTAACTACATACAGATACGTAAAACGATCATCTGCAGTAAGCCTACCCTCGTATGAGTCGTACGTTTCGTCATTCGATCCCTGGGTAAAATTTTAATTACGCCACTGCTCTTTAATAAAAGAAAAAAAAATCGTCGGCACTGATAGACGGAGAGTTTGTGTTAAGCATATACGTAAATAAACGCAATGTTAAATGTGTACACGACGATAATAATATGCCCTATATCATGTAATATGTAGTCACAATGCCTGCCCGAGCACTGGTGTAATTACTCGGGTAAACAAGAATACATTTTCACTCTCTGACGTTATAAATTTAACGAACTCAAAGACATAAGTGCACATAAAAAACTATTTTAGCTACTTATACTTCATCTTATCTTGATGAATAAAATAGTTATCTGATTATCGAGATACCTGGTTAATTTTATTTGATTTTTTTCGTTTTTGATTTTCAATGTTTGATATTCAGTAATATTGTCGAAATATTGGTTTATTATTTTATTAATTACCTACTAAGTTTGAATTTTGTATTTAAATGAATGGTGGGAAAAATCAGATTTGCTGAAGTTCGATAAAAATCCGGATTTTCTACAGAAAATGTATTGCAAATAAAATGTATTACACATTTTTTTAAACGTGGAAAATACAAAAATATAATATATAAGTAATAGATTTTAGAAGATTAAAAACTCTAGTTTCGAAATCTAAAATTGGAATTATCGTATTTTTATGTCCGAAACCCGAAATCCGGATTTCTGTCTCATTACTAGTTTAAATATTTGTATTTAGACATAATAACATATTAATTTGAAACGTCAACTCTTGATATATTACATAATTGGTGTTAAGTAGTTATAAACTATGAATAGTTATGAACTGTTTAAACAATTATAGGTTCAATCTTAGCAAACAAATTTACAATATTTGTTAGTTGGCGGTTTTATATAAATAATCTATAAAAAAATAATGTGCCTAAATGAAAATATTTTGTCTTCTATCTCGATTAAATTTGTTTAGTTTTATCTATTTTCTTACATAAATAAATTATCAGCGCATTATCTATTAAATTTTTCAAATAATTTTAAAATTTTCTTTGCGCGCCATTGACGGGGAAGGTATACATTACACAATAATGATGGATCATCTGAACGCAACAGATATGTTTTAAATTCTTAAAAATGATTTTAAGAATTTATTCTGATAACAATATTAGTTTTAGACGTTTTAGTAGTTTGTAAACTAAATCATGGGCAAAAAATAATGGCTGGTGTATAAAATTAAATTGACTTAAAAATAATATAACGAAAAAACAATAAGTACCTACCTACCAATAGAGAAAAAGAGAAAAAGAAAAATACATTATTTTAAATTTAAACATTAATGATTTTAAACATAAACAATAATAATGACATCAAGTTTAGATTTTTTTCAATATTTAAAATAATGCATTTTTGACCATTCTGGATAATATTTGGTAGAACGTTACGCGAAAGAAGTTTTTTGTGCTTCCGTTATTCTAAAACTTATTCATAAAAACGACTAACAAGAAAGGAATAACGACTACGCCTTAGCACTTTGGCTCGGTTAAAATTGGAAAAATAAACTTTATTAACAAAGTTATCGACGAACTCAACGACGACGGTATAATGGTACGGTTTTTTGACTTCACTTAGTATAAATTATGAATTTATTTTTTCTAATTTTTACTGTAAATACTTTACATGCATCGTTATTATTTATTAATTTAATGATATTTTAAGAAGTAAAACTTTTTTTGAAAATAACTACAACTAATTTATTTTTATCTTTCCACGTGCCTTTGGCGTTTATTCTCTGAATTAATATTATACTCTACGCATAACTTTGAAACTTGCTATTGTATTCATTAGGCACGTATAATTGCGATATGATCGTTAGCGCCGCTAGCGGTTTTGTAGTAAAAAGGAAATCGTATTTAAAATAATAATTGCGTACGTAGGTACCCATTATACAAAACATCAAAGGCCATTCTTTACCTGCGAAAATGTATAGCCAAAATACTCATCGTAGGAAAACAAATTATCAAATTGCCGTAGCAAATTATAATAATTACTTTTTTAATAATATATTCTTTAGAACAACTTAACGAAATGTTCCCAAATCATATACATAAATAAATAAATGATTTTTCGTTATATTCGCTAATAATCGAAGATGTTTGTGAAATTGAATTTTGAACCAATAAAGTAACTCGTTAATTATTAGATACTATTAAAAATTTAGTTAACAAGTAATATTGTTTATTGATAGAACCTAGATTGTATAGAAATGAAAACTGCCTTATTCCGATGATTAATTATTATTCAAGAAATTTCCATAATTACAACAGTTAACCCAACCTCTGAGGTAATTCGAATTTAAATTTGTTCCCCTTGAAATTCAGACTATCTTAATTCGTAATCCTATTGTATATTGATAAACCCCTTTGAAAATATTCAATTGCTCACAGTTCACATAATCAAAATAATTAAACAGATTTAATAGTATTATGTACGTTAATTTATTTATTCCTAATTTGTTTATCAAGAAAATATTACTGTACATTTCGTGTATCTAATCAAAAATTAAAAAATAAATGGCAATGTTAAAGAGAAAAAAAATACGATTTTAAAATGATGATATACAAAAACACGCGGAGAACAAAATTAAAATTATTGATTTTTTTTAATAATATTGTAATATTTATTACTTACCGTTTCCGCAAATTTCTTCGTCGGAACCATCAACACAGTGATTTTTGCCGTCACACAAATGCCCCGGACGGATGCATTGTGAATTATTACACTTGATTTCAGAATGCCAACACTCTCTGTGCTCTATTGTACGCGTGAAAAACAACAATAAATAAATCACAATGTTTATTATTTATTATCAAATTGTTATTATAATTATTATTGTTATATCATTTAGAACCCACGGCAATGTTGTTCATCCGATCCGTCACCGCAATCGTCGTTGAAATCGCATACCTTATCGGTTGGTATACAATAATAATTCCCACATTTAAAGTGTGTCAGTGGACAAGTGTAGAATTCTAAAACCAAACACAGAAATTATAAATATTTTCAATACGTTCGAAGTGTTTACACGGATATAAAGATGGATGGATAATAAGTCGGTAAGTAACTCAAGTATAAGAAATATTTTTAATAAATATCCAAGGTTATAAAAACATATACACGTAACGACTTTTTAGCGTCTCTACACATAAACCATTGAACATCGTGAAATCCCCATGATACCTAATACAATTATGAAAACTTGGTATTAAATGTGTCGATGTCTTCGATCAAACAACAGTGGGCTTACTGATAGTATTTATATCCAAACTAAAGGAAACCCTTTGACACAGATAGTTAATGAAGATATATTAAGGTAGTAAGTCAGTAAATGGTAAATATATATAACGCGGATATGGTATTATCATATCATGTCATATATCTAATATATTGGTGAATATTTTATTTTGTCGGCCGTTCGTTTACATATGAATGGAAGATGAACAGAAACTTTGTTCGGCGCGTTACGGTACGTAAATAATTCTCTTAGTTATCGTACAAAAATATTGTGTTTAATAACGTGCGTACAACATTGTATGTATTATTCTGGCTTTGTCGTTCGAAATTGATATTTTAAGCCGTTTTCGAGACGCTACGCATTGTGTTGAACAAAATACGTACCTGATTAAAGTATACGCAAGAAATATATACAAGAAATTAACATAGAATATCTTTCCGCGGGAATAAAATCAATATCCCGTATCTGTCGGTATCAATGACGACGCTTGTTTTCTAAATAAACCTACAGTTATTAATAATAAAAACCGCCAATCAAATTAATTTAAAACAAACGACATTCCAACCAGACGGTTTCAAATTTGATTAACACAAATTCAAATGTTGGCCTTCACACAGTACCATTCAATATTTTCCGCCCAACAATATTTATACCATTCAAATATTAAATACTATGCGCGTGCGCGTATTAATCTGCACCACAATAAATATCATGAAAACTACGAAATAATTTTATCTCGACCGTGATGAATTCACATATTATATTATATCCTGTATAACACAGGGACACTTGCCCCCAGCTGTCTTGTTTTATATTCTGAACGGAAGCTGTTTGTACCGCAATGGTGACAATGATGTATGTTTGTTTTGACAAACACTTTTACTTGTACTAAAGTGTTTGAAAAGTTTCATACAGCGTGCAACAAGAGAACAACAAACGTTTTGGATAAATCATAAATACATCGTCGAATGATTGTATTTCGAAATGGTAACCCACATTTCGAAGAATAATATGATTGCGATCCAAAATGATCGTCAAACAAATGCACTATGACGAAAATTATCTTTTGAGTTATTGTGTTGTGCAGTATACTAAATTTTGTATTTTCATGTAATATTTTTTTTAAAGTTTTTACAAAAATCTCATTTTTCAAAAATATTCATTTATTAAAAATAAAATTCGTCATACGTGTATTATTAATTATAAATTATAATATGATATCATACTGAACGAACCATTGCGCAATGCGTGAGCATTTATATATTATAATAACAACACAAATTAAGTAAATTAAGTTATTTACCTATAGAATTTGAATTATTGAGTTTGAGTTGAATTTAGAGTTTGATCGCATAATATAAACCACTTAAAGAAAAAGATTTCTTTTGAAGAGCATCTCGTTCATTTTTCCTTGGAATATTATTGCCCAACAAAAAGAATTACAGCCATTATTGTTTTTGTTATTAATAGCTGTAAATTTTTTATTCGGCGATATTTTTTAGAAAAAAAAATTCCTCTCAACTATTCGGTAGGTGCTTATATTTATTAGGAGTAATCCTGTACAACGGAGTAGGTATACCTATAGGTAATGATATATTATTATATGTCAACGCCCACTGATTGATGTTAACACCATTTTCGCCGTTATGAAACTGACAGATTTGATAATATTCTTGTATATAAAAATTATAATTTCCGACACAATATAATTATTGAAAATTGTAAAATATTTATAAACAACAAACTTTCGATAGAAGATTTATAAAAAAAAAAAAAAAAAACTTGAAAGTTAACGAAAATACTATATCGTGTTATATTAACATCAATCAAAAACGTTAAAATACCTATAAATAATCAATAAATATATTTTGAATATTCTGTAAAAGGTACCAATAAATTTATTATTTTCTAAATAATTAAATCATATAATAATCGAAACGAGTGTTTCGTTAAATTTCACTGTTGCAGTATTATTTTAAAGCAATTTTTTCGACAGCAGGTACGATGATTTAAAATATAACCTCTTAAAACAAATTACACTCTGCGACATTTTAAAGCATTTCCCTTTAAAGTAAAAATAATAATAATAATAGTAGGTAATAACAAAATAAAATAAAAACCCGAAATCTCTTACCTAATAATGTTAAACAAAAAGCGGTTTTTCCGCTTCAATTCTAAAACATGAATATTACACATTTTACTTTCATAAATACATTATTATTTACCTACCTAAGTCGGTCGTGTTACGATACGATCTAAACAAATTATGCAAACAAACATTGGTATTTAGTAACTATAATATTTTTAAAAGCTAAATTAAATTGCGGTTCATCAACACTTAACCGACTGAAACTGCCTGAAACTGACATAAAAAATAACCACAGTAACTTTTATAATATCGTTTGGTTGTGTTTGAAAAATATTGTTGATTATTTTTATAATAAAAATAAAAATAAAACCCATATTGTTAAAAAAAAAAAACCCGTAGGAGAGTTGTTTAGACTTTAAAATCTATAGTAATAATACAAATTACTAAACATTACAAACTGTAACTATTTCTGCGAGTATAGATGTATAAGCAATTTTATTTTTGAACGAGTACCTCTATGCGATTTGAAATTGATTGACCAAATATTTTTTGAAAATAAAACATTTTGCTCCAGTTAGCAAATAGTACCTACACTATAGTTTAATGTGATGAAAATGTTTTATACTTAAGTAGCCAAAAGAAAATAAATCGATTTATTTTAAGATTCGAGTATTTGACTTATGCGTTATTCTCTAATGGTTTCTGTCTAGATCGGCCGTAATAAAATATAAACCAAAATTTAATAATCACAACATTACCTACAATATTAGGTACTTTAAAAAGCTTAAATAGTATCATATAGTATTTACTTATGTTGTCGCAAGTGTTAAGTAATTTTATTTATACTTCATTAATTTAGGTATTTAATTATTACAAATCCAACACTAAAAGTTAGAAACTAACATTAAGAATAATAAAAGAGCATTTCACTTATTCTACACCCATATATTACACGAGTATAAACTATAGACCTAGACTATTGATTCGTATTTAAGTAACACAAAAATCGACTTACTGCAATTTTCCTCGTCTTCACCTCCATCACAATCATGAAACCTATCGCATCGTTTTACCAATTCGATACATTGGTTCGCACATCGGTATTCGTTATAATTACAACCTGTAAATAATATTTTTAACACGTAAATAATTAACTTTTAAATTTTAAGGCTAAAACGCGTATATTCACGTGCTTCATTCAATAAAAAGACACAACTTGAAACGTCATTAATAAGCCAAACTGCTAATGTACAAAGTACATCGTATCGTACGTAAGATCACGTTAATCTCTTATACTAATACGGTTGAAGATGTTATTTCACAATGTGTAGTCGTGGCCCAGTTCCATGTTAACAGTTTAATTAGATATCTACCCGGCACCCGACAACTTTTATGACTTGAATTCATTGGTTCGGTAACCAATCCTCTATTTGATTGCTTTAGGCGGGGACACATTTCGCGGTTTAATTTATATATTAGACTCGATTTTATACGTTTATAGGACTCGAAAATCATTTTCCTAATCGAAGGTCAAATCCTTGACAGTTTACTGACCTGTCCCTACACATCCATACCAAAAAAAAAAAAAAAAAACCATAAGTGAACATCTATATAAGAGCCCTTCAATTACATATACTAATAAACAAACAAGCCGAAACTAACTTGCCGACCAGATAAATAAGTAATAAAAAGTATACTAAGTCCGTATATTTATTATGAATTATGGGGTGCCGCCGATTTATCTAATATTATTTTAAATTGAAACTTTCCAATTCGAAAAATTTGCACCGCATTTAATAATAAATTAATGCACCTCAAATTCTCTAACGGAACTGCATCAACGGACTATCTCTTCACACACAGAAAATATCCTGACTATTAAACGTTTTTTCTCCCTCACACAGCCGGACAACTCTTATCGAATCGCGGTATATATATATAAATATTATTGCAGGTATATTATTGGGAAAAAGAAACGAAATGAAACGACACTGAGTGAAATTCGGTTAAACGTGTTTTGAACTTCCGTGATTTTACGGTTTTCATCAAGATTTGGATTTAAAATGTTTTTAAAAAAATGACAGTATTACGTTCAACTGTTTACCACAAAATACAACTTAAGATGAAACTCGTGTTAAATTTTCAAGCACTTTTGTTTGGCCAAAACAATTGTGTTCGTCACATAAAATCAAATATGAACTAAACAAACTCAGACCGTTTCGTTTACTTGTAAATAGCTCTAAAATTAACATAATGTTTTAAAATTTTCCCCACTTACCCTAGAAAGGGCTAATACAAACATTCAAGTTCATAAGCAACAAGTTCAGCTCCCAATAAAATAAATAAAACCTGACACGTATGAAGATCATTGTTGATCTATTAAACTGTACTACTGTAGATTTATAGAATCTATTGATTATAATAGGTATAATATGAATAAGTATACTGTATTAGTAGTTAATATCGGGCAAAGAAATTTATCTTTAACTTTAATATTACCTAGGTAGGTGAATGAATAAAAAATAATTAATCTTAATATAATAAATATAAGAATAAATTATGGTTAACAATTTAACTGAACATTTAAACCTCTACATTCACTAAGCTTAAAATTTGTTTGAACAACGTAAAATGTTAAAATATATACTTTTTTTCCTTATTTAAAAAATTGCGTATAAGTTTAAGTTTATACCTTGAGTAAAAATTATAAAGTCTAGAGCAAAAGTATAAATCATAACTGAAAAAAATGTACAAGTACAATTCTTGGAAGACTAATAAACATGATTAAAAAATAATAGTTATAACTTTTCTTAAACAAAATTATACAAAATAACGTTAAACTATACTTACTGATAATACAGTATTATCATAACCTTATACTTTTAAATATTGCAACACACGTGTATGAGTTTTATACTCATCGTAAGCCTTTATTGCATTTTGAATTCGAATAAAATACTTTTTTGACATTTTCTTTATTTTCCTGTTTTTAATTAATTTTGTATTCGGTTTTTTTCTATTAAAATTTAAAAACAATAACTATTTTCCTTTTTCGGATAACGTGTCCGGGTACGGACGACGTGCCACCAGTAGACAACGGCGGCAGCGTCCGCCGCCATCTAGGCCCCGATCGAGGCGACAAACATATATGAGGAGATCGGGATCATCACCGAAATCGGAGTTAAGATCAGTAAAAAGTCGATACAGCTACACCGCCACCGACGCACGAGAAGGATCGCCGTCACCTCGACGTCAACCCGTTCAGTTATTTCTTCAGTGTACTTATAACTGATAAATACAACTAAGTCTTGACCCGGGTCTGGTGTCGTACGGTTTTCAATTATAAATATAATTTGTCAACCGTATTTTGTTTAAATTCTAATAAAAACCATTTGTAAACCTAAACGCACTTGTACATTTTCCCATCAATAGGCTGTGTCCGAATGGCCCGTAATAATATATCTTTGGACCCATGGAAGAAATCAATTTTGTAGAATTTTCAATAAAAGCAGATAAAATTTAAAATTACACCTGTACCGTTAAGCCCATCGTGAAAATTATAACAAAATTATAAAAAAAAAACTCCAAAAATTGACTTATAAACCTTTCTTCCCTGGAACCAAGGGATATATAATTTATAAAAAAAAAAAAAACACACGAAACAATCTAACGTGTTTTTAAAATGTCAATTTATTCGACAATTTAAAAACAAGTATTTCAGATTAACAATTAACATTTATCGCATAGCAGATCTCATATGCATTGTTATGCATTAAAATAGCTGACAAAGGTTAAACTATTATTATAGATTTAAGCGTATAGTTAGTTAAATAATTATAATTGTCAACATTATTCAAAAATTATTATGGTGTTATACATTTTCATTGTCTTACCACATTCTGATACGGCTTCATCTTGAGCTTGAGGACAATTCTGGATACCATCGCAAAGCTTGTCTCTTAATATGCAATATGTATCATCGCAATGATAATGAGTTAAATTGGTATTGGTATCCTGAGTCAAATTAGTGGTACCTATCACAAATAACCAATTCAAACGATGACTAAAATGCTAAAATAAATTCATTCTATAAAATAAGTATTTGTAGTACAAAATACTCTAATTATAGATACAAGTTTCGTTATTTACAAAATATTATTGTACTACCTGTTGCATTATGATTAGAGGTAAGTTAATTTAGTTTTAATCAATTTAAAACGTGAATTAATACACACGAGAAAACGGAATTCGTGTCGAATGAAAAATTCGTAAACACATACAAAATCAATACACGTGATTTTAATATCCGTGTGTCGCGTGTTTTTAGTGTTGTTCACGGATTCACAGATATAAAGCGATCGTATAGGTACCTGGGTACCTGTATACTACAGTGTGAATAAAATAAGGGTTGATCGGCCTTTACGTACTACCAATGTCGAGTCGATAAACTGATTATTATTATATGTTAGAAATTCGATAGACTTGTTTGTACTAAAATGCACGTGTAAGCAATCGTGAATAAAATTACACGTATAATACACAGGTTTATCAAATTTACGGTTTTATAGAAACGAATGTTAATTTCACGTGAATACGTGAAAGCGTGTACACATGAAATAGTGCACTCTAATTACGATTATTATTTATTATTACCATGGCCGGTCTGGAAATGAGAATTTTCCTAAATGCCCTGATCGTGGCCCGATATTTGTATGTTTTAATATTTTACTAAATAGTATTTTTTAAACATTCGGTAAAAAATTATACCATTCTTATTTCTGTAAACCTACCTATTGAGTTTCTTAGATTCGAAGTATATTTTTAATATATAAATGTTCATTTAACGTAATACCATTAAAATGCGTATTGATGAAAACACTTTTCTAAATTCGTGTAGGATTACGATTCCCCCTCCCCCATCTTATATTCACACGCAACTCCAGTATAAACGTATTTAGCTCCCCTCAATTCAAAATACTAATTTCATAATTGATTCAAATTGAAACGCGAGGGAAAACACCTGGATAAAATTTAATCTCCCTGCCTGAATTTTGTTCACACAAATAAATACATTTGTATAACTTTAGCGCATTGCCATTTAGAGATAATATTATCTTAAATTATTTTATTTTAATCCAATAATTTATAATACATTTATTAAACTATTTACACAGTCATATAGTTTATATATTCGATAACTTGGAGAACATTTAGAGAACACAATAAATATTTGTCAACGAAATCGTATTAAATGGATCAACAACATAAAATGCGTTTATGTTGATTATTGATTCGCGAATGACGGCGAAAAATATTATTAAAACCGGAAATACTTTACGGTAAAACAAATTAAATTGATAGATTTCTGATGTTTAATAATAGATATGTTGTGTACTCTTTTAATATTTTGTAAAAAATTTCACCATTTCACCAAGACTAAGTGGTATCTATTAATTATGGCATGTACGAAAATAATATTTTAACCTGTGTTTATTGTTATGAAATGTAATTATAAACTATATTATAAGTTATGGCATTAACATTCGATTAAGCTTATTGAAATAAATTGTTTTATCAATTTCTTATTTTAACAATATTATTGAAATATTCTAATATAATAATTGAAATATAACTAATCGTATGACTAATGAATAAATTGTTGTAAGCATATTATTTAAGAATATTGTATACCTAGAAACTAAGTTTTAGGTTTTAAGAAAAATTATAAACCCATTAGCTTTAAAATAATCTTTTTATATTTTTGTGCTATTTCTCTTTATAAAATACATTTAAAAGCAGTAAAAATGGTAAAAAAGTTTCTTTCGACAGCTTCATATAGAAAAGTAATTGAAAACAGATGGTACTTTACAGTCGTATTTGCAGTGCTTGGTATTTTTTTTTTTTTTTTAGTACATATATATAAATGATTTATTATTAGTTTAAATTTTAAAATAATAAAACAGTTGATTGCACCCTTATATTAAAAGAAAAACTCAAAATGGCGGTTTGTTCAAAATTTAAATTAACACATTCTTCGAAACACTCAGTATCTATCTAAAGTAAGATTTTTAAAACATTAAAATCCGAACAAATGTAAAGCTCTAATTACTAAAGGAAACTGAGTAAAAATTTTGAAATCCACATGAATAACAAATAACTTTCCTCCGCAGTTAAACTTTTAACGAAAAGTAGGTAAGTATATAATTGATTTTAATTCGTGAACACTGCCTTGTGTGAATTAACTTGTTCAACTTTTTAATTTAATAAACATGAGATGATAACGCTCTAGGTAGATAACCAATATAATTAACTAGGTATACATGAAGACAAAAGATAGATACGGAATACGGACTTGACCGTAGATAATAAATATTTGTAAAATGCTTGGATTCTCTACTCGTGTTTTAAATCTTACTGGGGGGAAAAAAAAAACTGTTCAAATATAGTTTTGTTCTTAAACAATATTTAAACAAGAATTGTTATATTTTCGTTCTAAACATTATATCATATCATATCATATTATATCTTAACACGTGATAAATAAATTGTACTATATTTAACAATACCTAATCAATAACCGGGTAGTAGGTAAATACAATATCAAGAGAAAAAACTCATCGGTCGTCCGTAATATATCGAAGACAAATATTTGTATTCTATACATATCATATATGTTGTTTGTATCATAATATACGTTTGCGTATATTTTTATTCAGTTATAGACATAGACGAATGATGTACTTGTATTTATTTTTAATAGAAATATTACATTTTTTATATATTATTCATATCATTCATATGCATATTTTTTGTTTAAAATAATTTATGTATATATATATATATATGTTTTAAATATTTTTATTAAAATATGTCCGAAATAATTTTGAATTAAATTTAAAGAACAGATCGGAAAATATATATTGGGTGGCGCAAACTCAAACTCTTTGTTAAATTAAAAAATACGCATTGCATACGACCCGGGCTCGGGACTTAATGTCCTTTAAACCCACAAAAAAAAACGCTTGAAAACGTCCAAAAATTACCAAATAAATCGCTTAAAAATATTTAAAAAAATTGTTAGAGAGTTTTTAAAAGGACCGCCATCCAACAGCTCTAACTAAATTTCAATCTTAAAAACGCTGTTAAAAGTAAATTAAAACGTGGTAATTTGTGTATAAAATCAAAAAAAAAACTCGAAATTTTAAACACACAGTTATTATAAATAACCCAAAAAAGTATTATGAAAATTGCACTACATCTGGAAAGTATTAAATAATTATAGTCGGTGTAAATTATGTATGTTTAAATTGAAAACCTCTAGCAGCCTCCTGAACATTTTTCCTATTTCAGCTTATTTCAACTTACTTCGGCTAAATTACGCCTACAAGAAAAAGTTTGATTTATCAAATAAAAATTTACTCTTCTGTATCCGACTTAAAATATCCATCGTCGATTTGGATACCTAAAGAGAAGCTTCTACGATTTATTCACGATAATTATTTACCACATTCCCTCCGGTTTAAAATATCTGGACAAGCCACTAGTTAGATACACGGCGGTCATCTATGAAACTAGGTACTGATTCGATTAATTTCTTTATTCAGTCCAACGGAAGATTGCAGGGTTGGATTAATAATTACTAATTTATTAGTTAGTCCTGTATTACGCAATTCAAATCTGAATAAAATGTATTAAATTAAATTAAAAATTAAAAATGATTTAATGGCAAATACATTTAATAATACGGTATTTATCATTAACGCTTAACAATAATCCTGCCACACACAAATAAATAAACAGTAACCATCGCTAGCTAGCATTCTACGAGGTAATAGTTTATTATGTATTCAAATGTTTTCAAAGAGATCCAAGCAAATCCCAATGGCACGCGTATAGCGTATTACGGTCGCCTTGTCTTGTTTGTCTTTTTATAGCCGATTCCATTACTGACAGACGTATATTTTACGTCTTGCACGTGCGAACGTTTAAACTACCTACCTATATAGACTGCAGCCGTCGGGTGATTTCACTAGGATAGTAATAAAAACAATACTACAATGGTGACGCACCAAAATCCAATGAAATTAAATGGAAAACAGTGTTTTTAGGAAAATCTCTTGTTCAATTGACATAGGTACTTTATACATTATCAACGGCAAACGCCTTGGGCATTTTTAATAATCGCATGAACGCACTTTCTTAAACACACGAGCCTAAGTTCTAGTCTAATATAAGAAATATTTCCCCGAAAATAAATGAAATACCGCGCACCGTACTCATACAAGCCTCGATTGGGTCATATTTAGAACTATGTACCCGTGCGCTCTTAACTTTTTTTTAAATTTTCCCAAATTGTTTAGAATTCAGATAAACAGAATCGTTAAAAAAAAAAAAAACGGTTTTTTAAACTCGCTTATACCCTTTTAGAAAATCACGAAAAACGGTAAAATCATAACGAAACCTATAGATGTTTCCAATGGAATCGATTGGTACGTCGATTTGTTTTGTTGTAGTTTACACAAACGATTTCCTTCACGTTAAATATGTTTTGATAGAACTTTGAATTTACCGGACAATCAGCCCACGTCATAATGTTGATTTTTCTGAACAACATTTTAAAATATTTTTGTTCGAAACGCGGCGGTCCGAAAGTAATAATGCGACGGCCGGCCCACTCGGGAATCTCCGGGTATCCCCGTGGGGTAATCCACGGTTATCTATTTGATATAATAATAATATCGATCGTATACACGATATCACATACATACTCGTACTTTGTCGAACTTAGACCAAGAAAGCTACCTATCGATTTTATGATAATTTTTGGTAAAACCCCATTTTCGAACAGTTAATACATATGCTTATAAATGTCTTGCAACAATTTTATAGTTGTCAAACCAAATACAGGAAGAACTTTACAGAAGACAAGTAATTTTTCAAGTGTTCTATTGTTCAATACCCAGCTGAATATTGGAATAAATGAAAAATGACAAGTACCCAACACCTGTCAGTGAATCTCATTTTTTAACTTTTCGGTACCATTCTTTTTCTTCTTTACCTCTACTCGGAAAAGAATTTTTCTCTTACTTCAAAAGTATCGTTTATTATATTTGAAAAAAGACATATATGTACGTATACCTTACATTGTTTGTCTTACTGACGTTTTGCCCATCACATAATAAGTGCGTTTTTCTTGATAAAACAAATAATTGATTTAAGTACTTTGAATAAATTCCCTTCTAATATGAATTATAATCTGCTTAAATAGATACAAGGGTATTTAGTATATTATTTAACATATTAAATAATTAGATACCTACCAAGTTTGACTGTTTACACAAATACACAACATACAAATAACAACTCAAATCGACCCTATACAAATATTATCCTGATTAAGAATTTTGATTTTAGATCCTGCAGAATCTGATCACGACCAATACTATGTGTTGACATTTATACAACGAGTATAAAACGTTATTTATTTATGAAATTAACGCTTCTTTGCATTTCGTCAGCTTATTTTACATCTGGACATGTGTGTATTTTTGTTTTTTTTTTGAAATACGAATTTTAACAAAACAAACAACGAAATTTTTTTTAAAAATAAGATACAAACGTCATCCTTAAACATACTATACGTGTTTAGTATAATTTCCTTATAACCAAATACTGAAAAAATGGTGGACAGTTATGCCTAATACGTATTGCACGAATCATTTATAATATTCTGACTTTAATAAATTATTAAGCATTCGTCCGAACTGTCAAAATATAAAATTCCATCCCATCACGGTATCACCATAGATAATACCATTTGAATCGCCTACTCAAAGGTTACCGGCCGGCTATTCAAATTCATCTGAGCTGTCATCTTACGTATTATGTTATTTTCTGTGATCTCAACAATGCCTAATGCATCACGACATAACGCATATAACGATATTCTTCAACCGACTATTATGTAATCCATAATATTTTTTTTTATGACATATGTAGATACGGCAATTTTGAACTAATAATACAATAATTCCTTACGCAATTACTTATTCTCCAAAAGCAATTTCGTGTATACATTACGAGCCATTATAGTAAGTATAGGTAATTTTATATTACCGTCACACGAATATTATTGTCAAAAAGTGCTTTTCATTTTTTTTCCCCTCTTGCGTTTGCATGTGTATTATGAGATACGTGATTAGTTTTGATGCTCCTCCCATACATATATATATATTCAAATAAATGTATAAATAAATAATGTCTATAATAAATTGTATTTAGTATAATTTAGATTCGATATGATTGCTACGACAATGTGTAAAAGTTTATTATTTAGAATTAATGTGAACACACATTAAAAACAAATTGTTTTAGTTGATTTCCATGTATAGTGATGTACTGTAATAGTATTTTGTAATTTGGCTTTAAAGCTTTTGCGCCTTAAACGTAATTTACAAAATTAAAACGATAGTATAAAATATAAATAATGAAAAAAAACTTACACAAGGATGCTTGCAATGCCGCAGTATTATTTTTCGTTCCAGTAGCCCCGGTGTTACCACTGTCAAAATTAATTAACAGCAGCAAAGTTGGCAAAGACAAATCGAAATACATCATCGTTTTTAAATATGCATTTTATTCTGAAAAATACACAAAATAATAAAAAATATTATACAGTACGCTACGTGCAATACACACGCGTGTGCGTATACTCTATTCACCGTTCTTTATTATTGTATAAGTAAATTAATTTCACATAATTTGATATTAATCAAATTTCGTGAGTTTAACTTAAAACTTAAAAGAAATCATAATTAATTTTATCTAATAAGAAATCAAAATAATATTATAAACGAAATTAATTTAGTCGCATAGTTTAATTTCTAGCATTTGGAAGTTTTAACGGGTATTTTACATAAAATATTACGAAATCGGGTACTTTTAATCCGTTCTCAAAAAATAAAAAAAACATTTTTACATGCTTGTTATTTTTGATTATCGCTAAAATATCTAATTTTAAACATAAGTTTAGTATTGTAAAAAATAATGCAATTCACTAAACGAATTTGAGACAGTAAATAATGAACAATTGTTAAACTACGGGAAAAAAAGTTATCAATTCATACTCGAACACCATTTTCGTTCGCAAGTCTTATTTATTTATTTGTCAATCTATTCGACGATAAAAACAAACCACAACTGTGCTCACCGAATTTACGATCGGTATCACTGTAAATAGTTTCTAAAACGCTACCCACATTTCTGAATTTTTCAGACCGTACAATCTAGTCAAGCCAATCTAATCAGCGATACAAATAATTATTTAATTAAATATCACAACACTCACAACTGAACGTAGTCATTAATTACAAATAGATATTCAAATTACTTTCAGTTAAAAACCTTCTAATTCGACCAAAATCCAATCGCATTCTAATATATTTTCAATAAACTCCTCCGTGGATTCATGGGAAAAATAGAGCATTCAGTAATAAACCCATTCATTTCAAACACTGACTACATTTATGTGCAGTTAAACAAATCTATACAAGTTTTATAAAACATCTATAACATTTATATGGCTAGAATAAAAAATGGTCACCGATGCGCGATGTAAAATAATATATTTACCGATTTTGCACTTTCTTTGTAAAAATAAATAAAACTACATATTATTTGTCTAAAATTTTTAACGTCTTCTATCTCTGACTCAGCAGAATGATAATTTGTTATTTTATTATAATGTAAATAAAATATTCAAAGTTATTCATACGAAATATATGACAACTACATAAATGGTTTCATATTGACCAAGAAACCGAAATTAAATTTACTTAAAATATTCGTACATAAGTGCAGTTCCACAATGAAAAAAAAATAACCCTCTGTATACAATTTTAAAACGGTATAAAGATTCAAAATGTTTAATTTTTTTTTTTGTTATTTATAAACTTCCCCAAAATCGCTCGCTTCCAAAAATGTTGACTATGTAAAATACATGCCTGGTTTAATAATAATGTATAATATACTGGTATTTTCCCAATTCAAATACTTTTTGTCGCCTAAATATCGATATTTAAGTTATGTCTTTTTAACTGCTAAGTTCTTTAATTAAGTTCATGGAAAATTATATTTTAGATTGTACTATTCTAATATGGATAGGTGTTATATATTAATAGATTAAACAAATCTTTTGATTAGATAATTTAATATATATCAGACATGCCGATTTGAAAACTTCAAACTTAACTATTCGAAGTTAATTACCTACCTATAATAATGTAATAAATAATTTATTATTAAATATTATTGTTATTTTACAAGAAATTTTAAAATTAAATTTATCATGATTTCTATATTATTTTTACTAACTAATAGTGCTTCCTTCAGAAAATTATTGTTCTATTTGAATAATAACTCTAAATAAACGTTTGTTTAACATTTTTTTCAGAATTCTAAATAAAAAAATAGGAATTTCGTACCCATTCGTCAAATGTATTATGTACTGCAATAAATTTCAAATTTCAATGTTAAATCATGAAAATTTCTGCCGCATTTGTACCATTTAAAAAAAAATGTATGCGTTTCATTCCCAACGATTGTCTATCATCAAGTTATCATCAATACTTTATTTTATTTATACTAATATTCTCACAGCTTATTTATAGTTTACAGTTATGATTATTTTGTATTATTTATTATTTTCATAAACTTATTATAGCATAGGCGTGACTAGATTTCATCCACAGCGGCAGCCTAGCTAATGACCGGCGCCACTTGATGAACTAAAAAAATAATCTTTAAATAGGGAGGGCACCCCCCCCCCAATTAAATACTTATATGATTTAAAAAAATATGTATTATCTATTTACAATTAATAATGTACAATATTTTCAGTATCTTTAAATTTAACTGCAGAAATATTATTCAGGTCTGGATTACACCTCCATATAGTCAAGTAATTAACAAAATATATGTGTTAGTATATAGAATAACAAAAATTATATACTGATAAAAAATGCATAAGAATTTATTTTTTTTTAATAAAAGTTGTAAGCCACTAGACATAAAATTTGGTGGCTTTTGAAAATTGCAGGGGCAGCCCAGGCACCCTAGGCTGCCACCATAGACACGCCCACGCATTATAATGAAAAATGTTCGCGGCGATATTATTATATTTATGTGTAGTACTAAAATTATTTCAAAATTCATAAACTATATGTTGAATGTTGATAACAACCTTCCAAGAGACCTACTTTATACTTTATCTTTTTTAAAAAGCTTACATGAAAATATACACGATAATTATTTTCTTTTTATTCATCTAAAATGTTACCAATTAAATTTGTTTAAATTGTGTTTAACATTTTTTAATCGTATTTTCAAAACTATCTTTTGTAAGAACATAAAACAATTTTAAATTTTAAAAGCTCTTGTCAAACTTGACCTAAACTATGACAGCATATTAAAAGTCTTCATACCAAAATTAAGGTAATTGAGATTAACTGTATTATGTTTTACTTATATAATAGTAATTAAGTCATTAATTAAGTAAAAATTATATTTTAAATTAATAAAACCCGTAAAATATTATACCGTGGTATCCACTCTAAAACAATAAAAACATAAACGTGTATATATGCCAAATTTCCCTAAAGTTTATATTCCCACTGCGATGTTTCCCAATTTAAATTTTGTATTAAAATATGAGTATAATAACATAATATTTACGATTATAATGCATACAATTAACTAACTCAATTATTTTATTTCTGTTATTATTACAGTTATTAGTATTATTAATTATTACTATACATAAATCGCGAACTACAAAAAAGAAACAATAAGACCACTTTCTAATTGTTCAGAAGAGACAGAAAAACTATTTACGAAGTAATAAATGAAATAATAAAGATATGGTTTTTATTTTAAATTTAATATTAATTTTTAATAGCCTATGTCTAAATATCAACTTAATTAGAACAAAAAATATGGGTAAGTTCTTAAATTGTATAAAAATTATTTTTTTTTATTTCAAAGTTATGTCTCCATTCAATAGTACACATATACTCATTACAACATAAGTGGGTTGTGGACATATATTTTTAAGTCCAGGAACTGTCTCTGTTATCCGCAATAAACATTTTACATAGAGATATGTACATGTTCCCTTTCCATTGTAAATCCGCTATTTTTTTAAATTTTTGAACAATTGTCTATGTTGAACATAAAGCCAAAACAAAATTATTCTGTAGTAAACGGTGTATTTATGTGTACTAAGTACAAAATTATAATTAAATCAATTGATAAATTGATAAAAGTGAAAATCTCATTTTTCTGCAGTTACCAGTTCAAATATGACAACTGTGCATATTGTGTCAAAAAATAAATAAATACGAATTATTCCCAATTAAAACAGAAAATAATATCTGTATAAAATATATGTAAATTTTAAATGTGTGGGATAAATTGGCTTGCAACTTCATAGAGTCGCCGCACGGCATCCGTAGTGGAAGTATTTTTTTTTTTTTGTTTCGAAAAAAATTAAATTTAGGAAAACTAGATAGGAAGAATATTTTTATTTTTTTTTTTTGTGAATATTAAAATTGGAAATATTCGATTTGTAAATAATAAAATTTGTCAGGAAAATTAGATTGGGAAAAATTGATTAAGAAAGCTAACATATCAAAAATCAAAAATATCAAATTGTAATTTGTATAAATTCCCATTAGTTTTAGAGAAAATTCAGAAAACATTCTCTTTTGAAAACCTGAGATGGGATTAAGGCGAAATCGCTTCGAATAAAGTGTACCTACACCTATCTATTCTGGTTTTATATCAGTAATTTAATTGAAATAAAATAAATCATCATTGCTTTCAAACGTATGACGATACGTATATACCATAATACAATATAAAATATACTACAATTTTACACCAATAGCTGAGCGAAGCGAGACGAATACACCCAACCGACACTACACATGTGATTGGATCGATTTTATTATGTAGCGTAGGAACATTTTTATAAGAATTTATAAATTATATTTTATCGACAGGTTTTAAGATATTATATATAGATATGTAATTTTTGATCATCGTAAAAATTAAAGGATGGATACATTGTATTATAGCTACCTAACATCATTAATAACGTTCAAAAAGAGAATTTCACCGTTAAACCGAATAACTTTATCTTTCAGCTCAGATTCAAAATAAACAACGTTTGATATTCTGTTGGTTACGAAAATATTGTATACTAAGTAGGTACATATTTTTTTATTCATTCAGTATTTTTGATTTGATCAAAAAAACACGAATTTGCATTCTTAATCCGGATTCAAATAAATATATTTATTACTATTTTTTAAAAAAAAAAAAAAAAACAATGAACTTTTGAATTTAATATTCTTCATTATTAATATTATTATTATTATTATTATTATCATCATTAATAACCTGGCAGGAATATTATATAAAACGGTTTATCAAATTAACTACCCACTTATACAATTTTTATGCACCTACTTACCCGCATTGTGTTATTATAATTTCATTTAAACATATCTGATAATGTGCAAGCGTAAAAGCTGTTTTATTAAAATCGATTAATCAAT